GTTGCGTCGCTTTAGAATTGGCACCGCAACAGGTGCGTATGAAGATAATGTTTCATACTATTTTTAATCGTATATTTCGCGTCATATTATTATTTCTAAAATGCACTAATTAACTCTAAAATGCACAGGTGCGCGTAAACGCCGTGAATCCCGGCGTTGTAATAACAAAACTGTTTAAGCGAAGTGGAATGAGCGAAGATCAGGTTAAGAGCTTTTTCGAGCATATCAAAGACGCGCATCCTCTAGGAAGAACGGGCGACGTTTCCGAAGTAGCAACGACCATTGCATTTTTGGCGAGCGACGATGCAAGTTTTATAACAGGTGCGACACTACCTGTGGATGGAGGTAGACACGCCATGTGTTCTTGCTAAAAATCTTACGTCGACTATGTAAATATTAAGTGACATACATTATACTTTTATACGTATAAACTATATCATATATATCGTACATTAAGGCTACATACAATTTATATGCTATTCTGTTAGTTCTAAGAAAACGTATTGAAAAAATATTTAAGATTTATATATGTATATCATAATTGTCGTGTTTGTTATGTTGTTTCTATACAAATTTCTATCCTTACATTTGCAAAAAGGAAAAATAAAATAAAAATTTTCCTACAGCATAGCCAAAATATAACTAATTTAACAATTTCATTTTTCCTTCAGATTTTTAATTCTTTCTTATTATACATATACAAAAAATAGAAGACCACAAATGTGTGGTCTTCTAGTATGAAATCTCTGATAAGACTTCTTTGCATTGCATTAATAATAAAACAAGTACTGTACAATAACTATTGCGAAAAATATTACCTTAACCAGAATTTAAACCTCAACCTTCCTGGTCTCCGAGCGGATTATTCTACGGAATTTTATAAGATGCTTATTAGCATCAAACACTAAATTTCTTGTCAATTTAATTTGTGGAACGTAGTCGGCCGGATTCAATTTAAAGCTGCTTCAAGTCTGATAAAAATATTCGGCGCGTAGTTTACCTGAATTGGAAATTGTAAGATTCATAATTAAAACACATAAAAATATTATTATTAAATATCAAGATCAGTTTTATACTATATTGGCGTTTCTAATCTTGTTTAAATTTTCGCGGTATCGATTAGGTTTTCATATTAATTTTCATGATGTTATCTTTCTAAATGTTATCTTCTGCTCAGATTTGTATTATAATAATAATATAAAATATGTACTTTAATAATACGTACTTCGCATTTTTATTTTTTAAGTAATATAATGTACTATTTTTTATTTGCAACGGTAGTTTTGCAAATTTAAAGAAATAATTTATTAAATACGTCTACAGTGTGCCGCCAAGATCTAATTGCATCCTGCTCTCTTCAGAAATGTCAAAAATAACTCTCGAGGCAGAACTGCAGATTGGTCCATATACGTCGACTCGACGTCTATAGACATCAATTCGATGTCGATTCAATGTCTATAGACGTCGAATCGACGTCTATGGACCAATCTGTTCTGCCTGGGGCATTGCGTCAATAATACAAAAAATTCTGTAAAATAGCTATTGCGAAAAATATTAATTAGCTCAGCTAGGATTTAAACTCGATCTCCCTGCTCCCTGGGCTGATTATTTTACAGGATTTTATTAAGATGCTCATTAGTATCAAAAATTAGTAAATTTCTTGTTATTTTAATTTGTGGTACGTAGTCCGGATTCAATTTAGGACTGTTTCAAGTCCAATAAAAATATTCGGCGCGTAGTTTACCTGAATTGGAAATTGTAAGACTCATAAAATGCATAAAAATATTATTATAAGCATCAAGATCCGCTTTATACCACATTGGCGTTTTTCTAATCTTGTTTCAACGGTTTCGCGGTATCGATTAGATTTTCATATTAATTTTTATAGTGTTATCTTTCCAAATGTTATCTCCTGCTCAGATTTGTACTATAATAATAATATAAAATATATATATGCAGATAGTAACACACATACTTCGCACTTTTATTTTTTTAATAATATATAATGTGCTATTTTTATTTGCAACGGCAGTTTTGCAAATTTAAATAATCTATTAAATATTTCCGCAGTGTACCGCCAAGATCTAATTGCACCCTCCTCTCTTCAGAAATATCAAAAACAATTACTCTCCCCATTCTTTTTAAAATAATTCTTATTTTATTAATAATTGAAGATTAATGCTTTGTTTATTAATTAATAGTTATTAATAATAAAATAAAAATTGCATTAATTATAATAGAAAAAAAAACTTGGCCGTATTTAGGCACACATATTTAGAGTGCTAGTAGCACACATCACCCGTCCCTGAATAGAAGAGTGGGGCAGCCGGCAGAGCAGATCTTATATATGTGAAGCGCAAGTCACTTATCACGTTGATTCCGTGTCTGTATGTCTGTTTACTTCTGCGTGTAGGACATTGCGGACAGTTGCAGAGGACATCTGTTACGAAGGCGATATCGCGCTTTTTATCACTTCAGTATATAAGTTTTGCAATTTTCGTTCGTCAGTATCTTTGTACTCTATCACGGTAAGTGATTATATGCAAATTTGGACGCAAACTACATTTTGCATAATTCGATAACCGGCGATCCTTATTTCCACATATGTATATGTATTACGTTGCAACAATTACGTTCCAACACTGTGAAGAATGTTTTATTGCTTTTCCTTAGATGTCTTTCGCGGGAAAGGTTGTTCTGATAACAGGGGCCAGCTCGGGAATAGGAGCTGCAACTGCTATTCACCTGGCTAACCTCGGTGCAAAGCTATCGATAACCGGCCGCAATAAGGAGAATTTAGACAAGGTAGCCGAACAATGCGGCCAAACCAAGCCGTTTATCGTAACGGGAGAGCTAACCAATGAGAACGATGTGAAAAATATCATCGACTCGACGATCAAGCACTACGGCAAATTAGACGTTTTAGTTAATAACGCTGGAATTTTGGATGGCGGTAGTATAGAGAACACAACCATGGAACAGTACGACAAGTATGTATGAACAATGAGCTTAATAGCGTAAATGCCTTTGGGAATAGAAAAATTACAGTATTGTGCATTGATACCCTGATATCACGAAAACACGTTGTTCTTTATAGTTGCTTCAACGTGAACGTTCGCTCGGTATTTCATTTGACAACATTGGCGGTGCCGCACTTGATCGAGAGCAAGGGCAATATTGTAAACGTTTCTAGCGTTACTGGATTACGATCTTTCCCAGGGTGTCTGGCGTACTGCATGAGTAAAGCGGCTGTGGATCAGTTTACGCGTTGCGTCGCTTTGGAATTGGCACCGAAACAGGTGTGTGTAAAGATAATGTAACTGTTTCATATGATTTTTGAGTATTATTTCGCTCTAAAATTATCTCTTAAATTAACGCATCAGGTGCGCGTGAATGCCGTGAATCCTGGCGTTATAGTAACAAACTTACATCGGCGGAGTGGAAGATACGGAGAGGACGAACTTGAGAGCTTTTTCGAGCATAGCAAAGACACGCATGCTCTAGGAAGAACGGGTAATACGTCCGAAGTCGCGAAAACCATTGCATTTCTAGCGAGCGACGATGCGAGTTTCATAACAGGGGCGACATTACCTGTGGATGGAGGTAGACACGCCATGTGTCCTCGCTAAGAATCTTTTACGTCGTCTGTATAAATGACATGTGCTTTTTATATTTTTTATATACATTATATATATCGTATATACTTATATTATCAAAAGGCTACATACATTTATATTTTATTCTAAGAAAATAGAAAAAATATTTGATAAATTTGAAAAATATTTATATATATCATAATTGTTATGTTTGTTGTGTTATTTCTATATAAAAAAGATACTTTTATCCTTTGCAAAAAGAGAAAATAAAATAAAAATATTCTTATATAGCGTAGCCAGATATGAGTAATTTAACAATTTCATTTTTAAATAATTGTATTCATTACAAAAATGCAATGAGTGAGCTTTAGTATCTCCAATTTTACAATGCACATTTTAGAGAAGATCATATAGAAGAGAATTTTATATCGAGATAGGAAAATTTAAATCTCAAGGAAACAATAATCAACATGTGTACAGCACAAAAGAAAACGAGTAGACACCTGATTAAATCGAAGAACGTTCTATTTCAAAATTTAATTGATAAACATTCGTAATTTTATATCTATATTTATAAATATATTTGCACTATGAAAATATTGGAAAATTTAATTTAACGAGACATTCAGTTGTATCTGTTTTAAACTAATCGTTTAGTTTTTATTTTGCCAACGAAAATGGCAGTGTTAACGATTCATGTTATAACAAAGACATAACATATCGTGTGTAACATGATGTATACAGTAACGCCTAATATAGATTGACGCCTAAGAGATATCTGTATAATACAATTTACAGCTAATATAATATTGCAACTTGTTCTCTGTAAGATGATAATTTACATCGAAGGATGATAACACTGACAACAAGTATAGATTATAGATGTTACATAACGTATATATACAACAATAACATTCTTTATAAAAGTATGATTTAATATATTCGCCATTTGCGATATGTCGCCGGCAAGCTGTTGCATTTTGGCCCAAATATATATGAAAAATAATCAATTTCACGTAATTTTAAATGTAGGTTTTTTCTTAAGAAACGCTTAACGCTAACAATATATCTTCTTTTTACGTTTGAGAAATGATCTTCGGAGGCAATATATAATATATAATATAATCTTTTTCCTTAATAAAAATGACGAATTAAATTTCCGTTACGAAATATTTGAAAACTTTTTAAGAACATTCTAGTATATCTATGCTTAATAATATAAATTTTTAAACCTTTCTTATACATATACAAAAAATAGGAGACCACAAATGTGTGGCTAGTATGAATTCTCTAATAGGACACTTCTTTGCATTGCATTAATAATACAAAAAGAAAAAAAGAAATATAAACCTATCTCTACAATCGTAGGTACAACATCCTATCACCAAAACTCTCTTCCGAGAGTCCCCTTAGTCAATAATATGGCTTTGAAATATTCAATATGTCAAAGATGATTATCACAATGATTTCCTACTGGAATTGCATACAGTTTAAAGCAGACGTGTAAAAAGATCTCCCCTTCGTATCCGTTTAGCATCTGCAGATAAGTTCACCCAGATAAACAATAAAGAATAATTGTTTCAGCCTTTGCTGGCAGGTACTCTGTTATCAGTATTACTGGTACTGTTGTTTTTCGAATCTACTGCACTCAATGCTATACCTAATTGTGCTGCATAGTATGTCAACATAATGGATACCTGTGGAGTAAAAAAAATCGAACATTATTATACCTTTCATAAAATTATCATAGAGTCATCAAGGCTACTTTTCAGAAGTACCGTGTATACACATAATATGTATATATATATATATATGTACATACGTACCTGAGAATAAGGTAATGGACTATGGAAATAATGAAACCCGAGCAAAGTGTCAGATATGACGAAGCAAATGCTTCCGATGCAACTGCACAACTTAGTCCACGTCCACTCCTGACAAATTAAAAAATTAGAATAAGAAATTAATTCTCTGGTGTTTGATTATGATGCAAGAACTAATACCGATTGCAGCAAATTTTTTTTTTTAATAAATAATTCATTATTAGAGAGTGTCACATATTTGAAGTTAAGATAAAACAGAGACATTTCAACAGATAAATATAAAGTGGAGAACACCATTTCTGTAATGTCTATATTATTATCGCATAAACCTACCCCGAAGAATTGTACTCTAGATATGGCCCTCCACGCCATAGTGGTAAGTAATACTGTATAAATTGGCACTCCTATTGCTAAAACTCCGTTCAATCCAGGCATCAAAGTGTATATAACTGAAAACAGTTGCATTAATCATCACTCTCAATTAATCACCAGATAGCGGATCGACGAAAATCAATATCCGATGTCCGTTTGCGAAAACATTCGCAGTATATCAGTACTCGTGATTCTTACCAACTGAACAGGACATGTACAGTACCGCCCCGAGTGTCAAATTGAGGGGTTTGAATCCGAATGCAAATATATACATGATTTGCGCAACAGCGAACATACACATCCCCGCGGCGAAGCAATTAGGCCACACTAACAGTGCGTCACCTAAGCAACTAAACACTAATCCCGTTAATATACGCCTGGAGAAGGCATATCTGCAAAAAAAAAGGAATACGTTAATAATTGCTGAAAAAGCGAAGACTTTTTTTTTACTACGAAATAAAATTGTTTGGCTTATTGTTAAATGTAATAGTAGCGCTCGTTTACTTACTCTTTCGACAAACTAATCCCATGTAACAGGACGAAAATAATGAGACTTATTATCGGTAAACATTTGAGACTCGCCGTCAGCAGAGATGGCTGTTCAGCGAGTAATACAAAATATACGGACACGCTTTTGAAGAACGGTACCAATTTCGGCCCGACGCTTTTAATCTGAAATGTAAAAATATCGCTTTAATTATTACGAGACACTCGTATCGGATACGCATGAAGTGTTGCGCAGAAGTGTCGCGATGATAAAAAAACAAAGCATTTGTGCGATAAATACTCGCAAATCATTCATTTTTTCTTTCAGATCACGTTTATACGACTGCGTAACAGAAAAATATTTCCATTATGAATTTATTCATAAATTAATTTTTTTTAAACTAAATTACCAAAGCTAATGTTTTTCAGGAGTAGTTATCGTAAGATAGCTTATCTGAGTACGAAAAACATGATGGTTTAATAACAATTGATAAAATAGAGATAGTAGTTCGAGAACATTGTAGATTACATTATAAATATTATCTATTATCTTTGTTAATTATCTTTAACTTACCATTTAATATTTCACAATCAAATAATCACTTTATGAAATCAATAAGTCGAGTAAACACGTTTCTTATGAAGAAGAGTAAATAAAATTTACCGGCAGACTGAAAATTAATTCAATCTTTTTTAATTCGTTGAAACAAATCACGATTACAAATTAATTTTTAATCTGTAATTGCATTATTATTATTATTAACAGCACTCAATATGATTCTTTTGTAAAATTCTTTATATTTTTAAATTACTAATTAATTAGTAATTTATTTATTATCATTTTTAACGATAATAAGTATTTCGTAATTTTTTAAAGAAAAAATATAATACATATAAAAAATTCAAATATTCGAAAAAATATTTTTTACCAAGCTATTCTTCATCCACAAAATCTACCTAATAATAGTGCATGTTTGAACAAGATTTATCCGCAGTCACTGAGGCCTAATCATTGACCTAATCCAGCCAGTTACATGATAGTACATTATCTAATACTGGTACCGTCAGGATGCACAATAGTCTTTGATATAGAGTAGTCACTTTATGCCAATATGATAGTTTCTCTAATAGCACTCTATTGCAACAACCGCAATTTAGATTGATCTTTGAGAAATTTCCAACAGGACACACGTAATACGGAAATTCTAGACTCTCCTGCCGTTTCACTTTGTAATTCTCGTTCGCATTTTGTGGCTCATTAATGTTAATTAACGTCGCAGCTTAATGATTAATAATTTAGTCGTCCGGTTATTTGAAACGCTAGAAGGGAATTTTGTAGAAGGATTTCACTTGCAAAACGATGCAAAAAATAAAAATATGTAAACATATTAACTTTTAATATGTATAGATACATTAATATGTATTGGAATATAATTATTGCGTGTTTCAGTTACAAGCTGTAGATACGAAATGTATGTAAATTGCAAATAATTATAAATATAGCCGCAAAAAATATTTCAGTAAAATGTAAATGAACAAAATGTGTATAAATTACGAACAAATTATGTGTATTCTCATAAATTATTTATTTCAGGCGCAAAAAGACCGTGTTAATTGCTTCCTCTTTTTCTCACTTTTCGAGAAGGATGCAAATCATTTTAATTGACATAATTGCGACCGCGTGCGGACAACGGAATTCAAGAATCGCGAGCGTCAGACTCGCTCTCAGAAAATCAAACGGCTCCCCCGAGAGAAACTCTTTCCGTAAGATACAAAGCTGCGATGTCTGACGGTGCTCCGATAATTTCGCGCGCATCTACGACGCTTTTGATACGTCGTGACGTATCTATAAGCAAATCCGAATATTTATCTTTCAACCACCGCGCGCGCGGAGTTAGCTCACGATTAATTCAATAAATTCTATTTTTACGCTATAATGCCGCGCGCGTCCACGACGAAGGGGCCAGAGAAAGAGCGAGTATGTGATTCATACAAAAAAAAGGGGGAGAAAAACAAAACAATAACAGCAGCAGCTAGCAGCTTTTCTCGATTTAAAAATCGAACGGCGACGGTGCGGCACAGAAGTGCGGCAATCGCGGAGATGACTCGCTCGGTTTAATAAATAAAACAGTTAAATAAATAAATAAATAAATAAATAAATGATAACAAAATAAAATAAAATTAGCGAGCGCGAAGGAAAAAGGGGGTGAGAGAGACCACGTTCGCCTTTGTCGTCGGAAACCGCTGTCTTATCGCAACCTGCACGTCCTCTCTTACCACTTGTGTAGGCGATGACATCTTCGGCCGAAGGACACCGCGGCCGAAGGGCGCGGGGCGGACGGGGGAAGGGAGCAACGCCGCAGCAGCAGCAGCAGCAGTAGCAGCAGCCGCCTTGTGTGTCAACTCCGGATGCGAGAGTCCAACCGACCGAGACCGTCGTGACGGGCCCCGCGAGTGCTGATCGTTCGCGAGGCTCGCCGTTTATTTATACGACCGCTTTCCGACGCCACCGCGCGCGTCACACGCACGAACGCACGCACACACACACAGGCGCATCGCGCGCCCCGTCCCCGTCAGTCCGGAGCACCGAGCACTGTGTGTTTTGTGTTGTGTGTTGTGTTGTGTGTCGTCGCCGCGGCGCACCACCACCGCCGATTACCTCGCGGCAGGGCGGCCAACCGGTCGGTCGACGGCCAAACGCCGTCCGGACCTGCAGTCAGGGCTGCGCGCACTTCGAAATATATAGCGACCCGACCACATTCCTTATACGAGCTGCAGATAATGATCGAACGATTTCTTAAACTTAATATTACCTTAGGAAAGACTTTCGAGGTGTAATTAAAATTATTTTAGGTTCGGCGATCATTCACAGGTAATTTTAATTATTTTTATACGGTAAACATAAAAACAAATGATACAAACAATTTATATATATATATTTTATATGTACATAGAAAATTAATTGCATTTATATGATCGAAGAGTTTTGAAATATAATTGAAAAGATTTAATATCCATTTGAATTATTTAAAAATATTTAAATATTTATAAAAACTACGTAACTTATTATATAGCAGACAATGAATGATTTCTAAAAACAATTTTCTTTTAAGAGTGTATATTATATTTCATATATATATATAAATTTATAATGTGCAATTTAAAAAGTTATCCAGATATAATATCCAGATTTTAATTAATCAAAATTATTGTTATACTATGAAGCTAGCTGACATAAATAAATTAAACAAGGTTTTTGCATAAGAAGTGTTTTGAGATATAATTGAAAAATTTTGATAGTCATTTTTTATTAATTAGTCATAATTTAAATTATATATTTTATATACATATAGCCAAGTTTTTCTATTGCGTTAACTGATCGAGAGATTTAATTAAGCCCTGATGATTTATGTAGACCGTAATCGCTTATAACTATTCCCAGAAGCGGTAAGTTCAAAACAATGATTTCGATGCTTTCGTTCATAATGACGTATTATTATATGAACGAAAGCATTGAAATTGTTATTTTAAACTCCAGGAATAGGTGACGATTATGGCCTGCATAAACCGCTTAAATCTCTCGATCAATTAATCTTGATCGGTTAATTCAACAGAAAAACTTGATTATTTACAAAATATATTTAATTTAAATTACGACTGATTAATAAAAAATGACTATCAAATCTTTTCAATTTTATTTTCAAAACACATCTTATATAAATTTAATTCATTTACGTTTCAGCTTAAAACTGATCAATTAAATACAACGCCGTTGTGGACATAATCGATATTCATTATAGAATAATTTATACCACAGGTTTGTTCGTGTCGCTAGCACTCTGTGCACTTCGAAATCCTCGGCGTTTTCTCTCTCTCTCTCTCTCTCTCTCTCGCCAACATTGAATATATATTTATCTCGCAAAAATTTTTGCACTTTAACGAGATTTCAAGCAACACGAACAAATCTCGCGTTGGCGCGTTGCTTTTACGGGTTGGATGTTTCATTGGTCAATTTCTCTGAAGCGTACGCGCGTTTATCTGTGGATGTGCCTTTACGCAAAGCTTTCAAAAAAAAAAAAAAAAGAGAAATCGATTTTCGAGACCTTTCGCGCGTCGATTTGACGCAGGGAATCGAATTTGATATCGAAGATTCCAGACTCCGACCTTCGGAACGTGTCTGGCCGATTCTAGCCTCAAATTGACGTGCTCAACGTGATGTGACATAATGATTTACGTTTTCGTAATGAGATAAGCGGAATTTTGAAGTGTCCACCGGATATTTCGCTGTAAAGCTGAATAACGCTGAAATAATTAACGTAACAACGAGATGGCGAGCTGCGTTAATTCCACGTTAAACAACCTGCTGGCGTCGTACAAGAAGTGGATCGTGGCGAATCCGCAGCTACTGACGGATATCGAGGCTACCGTCAGATGTTTATCCTACTTCAGTTTTGGTTAGGGAACACCGAGCCGTCAAAACAGAGCTTTTTATCGTCGCGTTCCCGTCGCGTTTACGGCGAAAACTAAAAATGTATATGTACGTTCTTCGCAGGGCAATTGCGCAATTCGACCTTGGCCGTGGAATTGATTTATTCCATGCCGAATCTGATCGTGCTCTGCAACGACTTGCTTATGTACAGCAGCAGGCGCCAGCACCTGAAGATACCTCAGTTCGACTCCAAGATTAAAATCTGGCTCACCGTGGTGGAGTACACGGAGACGCTGCTCGAGGTGTCCGCCAAGAAGTTGTGGGGCCCAAAGGGAAAGTGGCTGATGATCGTAGTTATACAATTGTTCAAGTAAGAATTCGGCGAGCAACTTTTTCTCTCTCGTTTTGGCGTAACGTCACGTTTGACGTAACTGCAGTTATTCTCGAATGCGTGTACTAATGCCCGTTTCCATCAATTAAGATCAACTTTAATCTCGATTTGGCTTATTCTTCATTTTTTTCCAATTCTTAGAACTGGAAAAAGATGAGGAGTAAGTGACTCAAGTTTTCCCTAGCACCAGCCACAGGCATCAAGTATGTATTAATATTAAGCATATATTATTGCTGACATCTATAAAAAAAAAGAAATATTAATAAGATATAAAATATGAGAAAAATTAATATAAATAGACAATGTAAAAATTATGTGTGAGAAATATGAACTGAGATGAAAGTTAATCTACATTGGTGGAAATAGGCATAGGCGTGCTTTCCATTTAGTGACACTAGTCAACACAAACTCATCTTTCTTAGCATTTAACGAGTAACAAAGACAAAACAATACTTGTGTCAGCTTGTTGACACTAAATGGAAAATACCCTAAATCTTTTTATTTCATGTTATCGATCAACGTTTGTTTATGTACTTTAGGTCCGTACTGCGACTGCTGTTAATTCATGTATATAAGGAACGCGTGACGAAAAGTCCAGCGACCCCGCCGCTCAACAGAGAGAAGTTCAATAAAGTTATCGACAGTGTGCAATTGAGGGAGGGCTTTATGCTGAAAAGATCGGGCACCGTTGTCAGAAGTATAAGACATTCGGTTCCTGTAGACATACGAACGTGGAAGGCTCTGCCACCTGTCACGGACGAGAATGAGAATCTGGCTAAGAATCAGGAATCCGAGAGGAATCTTAAACTAGCCGAGGTTGGTTAAAATACAGTACTGTCATGTATGTTATAATAAGTGTTTTGTAATAAAAACAAAATGTTATATCTCAATCTATAGAATTTGTCAAGGTATTATATCACGAATTTCTCTTTTATCAAGATAAATCTAGATTGCTAAATTTTAAAATACATAAAAATGATAACCATTGCTAAGCTTTATTTCGTTTTCATGGAAATTTATCACAGTTATATCTCAATCTATAAAATTTGTTAAAGTATTTTTATTATGAATTTCTTTTTTATTAACATAAATCTAGATTGCTAAATTTTAAAATACATAAAAATGATAACTATTGCTAAGCTTTATTTTGTTTTCATGGAAATTCATCACAGTTTTGTTGTCTTTATTTAATCCTGTTATATATATATATATATATATATATATATATATCTATACAAATTATTTTTGAAATTGATTATATTATATTTTAACTATATATTAATCCAAAAGATGTAATTAATGTAACAAAATATACAATTTCTAGAGTCTTTACGTGACAAAACCACTGCTTCATCTCGGCTGCATGTACATTACCAACCAGAAACACTGGCCACCGTGGATATTGTCGCTTATCATCGATATAGCCAGGTAGACAGCATATTGAACTTACTTGAATACGTGATTGATGAAATTAGAATATTTTACGTAATAATCGGATTGTCATTGGTTTGCGCAGTTTAAATATCTTCACTCGTTACGCCCGAAGAGAATTATTTAGCAAGGATGAGGAAGAGGAGCTTGTGCGTCGAAGATTGAGCTTGCTGCTGTACATTTTGAGATCGCCCTTTTACGACAAATACAGCCGCAACAAGATAAACTCGCTGCTCGACACGATATCTACCTCCGTGCCCCTCGCCAAGTACTTGACGAGTGCCGTTAAAAAGAATTTACCGTATATGCAGAGTATGTATTTTTACATGTGGTCGCGCTAAGTTTAGGCTACGAGAGACGAGAGCTGAATTCTGTACAAATACGAAAACAGCATAATCGTAAGCATTCCAATCTACTAATAATTGGGGACATAAAGTAATGTTATTTTTGTACTTCTATCTATTTACATTATTCTATCATGAATTCTGTTATGAATTCTAAGCGATGATGGTTGGTTTATAACTATTTAGTATATTTTATTTCATTAATTTATAGAAATAAATTATATATGAAGGGCATAGAGAGAAGTTATTTTCTCCTTCAACAGTCGTTAATTCGCTCTGATTAATTTATTAGCGTCCCGGTTAACTCGTTAGCACGTAAGCGTGAAGCGAAAAGAAGGACGGCTATATTTCGACGAATATAGTTTCGACGGAGTTTCCCGAATTCCTATTGTAGCTTTTTCAAACAATTCGAACGTTTTTGCACGATTTTGATATGATTCACAAATGATCTCTATTATCTGATCTGTATTTTTTTTATTTTTACCAAGCTAAATTTTTTAAAGACTAAACCTTCAGCTTCCTTAAAAAATTTGAACGCTAAGACAGAATACATGGAAGATATCGCTATTTTTTTTGTAACTCGTAATAATTCTGCGTCGTAACCTTCGCTCGTGTAACAGCCCTTTTATCACAGGTGTCGAATCACAGAGGGCAAAATGATTAATCGCCGCTTGTGGAACAATGTTTTCTTACAACAATATGTATTTTAATACGTAATGTTGAATGAGATCAGCGATGCGTGATTCATGATCTGCTCGCACCGGTGATTCCTGATTATTGACCTTCGTTGGCTATTTGTCAATGAGATTTATCGGGGATGGCCTTGCTCTTTCTGCGCGCACCGAGGTATGGACGCGGAGGGAGAAAGAGCAAGGCCTGAAGGAGAAGCGCTGGGAATACCGCGCCGGGCGCTATTACCTGGCGAGCACGTGCTACGTGAATTGTTACACCTGCACGTAATTATAATCGGAAACAATTTGCTCCTCTATTTTTTTCCCCCCCGCGCGCTCCCGTGCCAGATGTTTTACACGTACACACAGCTTCGGGAAGTCTGGCACGAGTGTTTTCCAAGAGCGTCGTTTCTAGCGCGCCGTGAAAGGTCATGCATTATATTACTCGTCCGGTAGGATGCACAAGCTAATACGTTTCCCTCCAAGTTACGAAAAAACGGAAATAGCGTACTGCTTCGCGCTGACGCATTTATGTGTATTATATATATAAATTCCGCACTCCGTGCTTTATTTGTTGTGAGTCAGTTTCGTTCGCGAGGGTGTGTGATCGGCTCTTTCTGTCTCTTCGATCTCTTTCAATCAAGATGAATAACGCTCTGCTGTTTTTGCTGTCGTTGTACCAGCTGTTGCAGCAGGGGTTCGTCCTCGCGCAGATCACCTTTGGGAACTCACCTCCCCTAACACAGCCGTCACAGCCACAGGCAGCTGTGTCACGTATATATTAAATATTAATATTAAACATATATATTATTACTAAGATCTAAAAAAATGTGAAATACTAATAAGATGTAATAAGAAAAAAATAATGTAGACAATGAAAAAATTATACGTGAGAAATATTGTTAATTAATGATACTTGAAAGATTTATAGTTTAAATGTATTATCTGATATATCAAAGAATTTCGAAAAAATATGAAATACTAATAAGATATAAATGATAACAAGAAATATGAAAAAAAATATATAAATGGACATTGAACAAAATATTAATTGCGTGAGAAATATTGTTAACAATACTTGAAAGATTTACAGTTTAAATGTATTATCTCATATCAAAGAATTTCTAAACGTAAAAAGAGAAAATAAATTTAGTATTTTGTTTAGAAACTATAATATTAATGTTTTCTGACACATTTTATTATCTTTATAGCTTATATCGTGAATCAAGGTTGTTCTTGCTATCCTGGAACTACCTGTCCCACGGGCACTGGCGGCATTGACATTAGAATAGTGAATACGGTAATACATTTTAGTTCACAATAATGAGCACAATGAAAATTACTTCGACGTGACACTCCATTTCGAAATAATTATATATTTGTAGAAAAATTAGAATTACCAATTCTATATAAAAATTTTGTATAAAAAGAAATAAATTACCATTTTTATAAGTAAACGTGTCTAACGATTATTTATTGCAAACCAATAGATTATTATATTAATAGCAATTTTTATATACTTTTAGGGATCGCCTTGTCCTGCTGGATATGTATACTGCTGTACATCCGGCGGCGGTACAAATAATCCTTATTGCGGCGTTCAAAAAATTGCACCTACCGCGCATCCGGTGGGACAAGCCCCTTACGGTGCATATCCCTGGATGGTGGTTATTTTGACCACCGGCAACTCTTATGTCGGAGGAGGAGTGCTTATCAGTCCAATGCATGTTCTCACCGTCGCTCATAAAGTGGCCGGTTACGTGTAAGCATTAAATTCTTGAAAAAATATGCCTCTTTTGTCTTCAAAGGGATTAATTTCTGAAGCAGTTTTCAAAATATGATATATATATATATATATATATTTCAATTTATCTTATATTCTTCGTATGGACTTATTAATAATGCGTTACAGAAATGCCGCGGGCGGGATCAAAGCGAGACTGGGTGATTGGGACGTTCAAACTCAAACTGAACCTAATCCATTTGTAGATATCATCGTCTCAAGGGTCACTTTGCACCCCTCATACAATTCGCAAAATTACCTTCAGAACGATATAGCGGTGCTTAGACTAAGCTCGGCTGCTCCTATCACAACTGCTCCTAACATTAATACGGCGTGTTTGCCAAATTCAGCAGTGCCTGCGGGAACAAGGTATGTATATATTCGGTATTCGAAATCACTTAAAATTCTCCCCACATTTAAATTCTTTTCTACCGATAGTCTACCGATAAAATATATAATATCACTTTCTGTTTTGTTGATTGCAATCATATTAGTTTTTGTATCATCGTTTCGTTGAGCGTCGAAATATATTTTGTAATAACGTCGTGATTATATGTAATATTAATATTTTAAAGATGCTGGGTGTCGGGCTGGGGAAAGCAAGCCTTTGTAGGCGGAACGAATCCGAGTATCCTGAAAGAGGTGGATGTGCCTGTGCTGAGTCAACCGGATTGCCAGGCGGCCCTTCGAAGGACCAGACTCGGTGGTGGCTTCGTCCTGGACAACAGTTTTATGTGCGCGGGAGGGGAACCTGGCAAAGACGCGTGCACTGTAAGAGAATATGTTACATTACCTCTTGCTAAGTGTATTCATTAATTAATTCTAGCAATATCATTATATGAATTTTTCTTTTAAAGGACGATGGAGGTTCACCGATGGTGTGCTCAAATAACGGACCTTATCAAGTTGTTGGACTGGTGACGTGGGGAATAGGTTGCGCAGGTGCAGGGGTACCCGGTGTATATACTAACGTGTTCAATTTCCGTGCCTGGATCGATCAACAGCTACTGACGTAGCTCTTGAAACATAAGCGCTAATATTAATATTAATTTTAAAAATATTGATTAAACAAGAAAACTATATTCATAACAAGTTAAATCTTGTAAAAAATGTGCAATAAATTATTGATATACATTGATACAAAATATTCTCTTTGAGAGAAATTGAAGGGATTGTGTACGAGTATTATACATGGAACACGGAAACAATTGATACACATTTTTTGTAATTTTCTTTTATAATTGCTTAAATCTATAAGAAATACATAAAAAATATACAGACTTAACATTTAAGAATTATATGGAGGAAAGAATATATAGACCTAACGAAGAGATTTGGTACTCTTTGCTTATAGATTTGCGTCCTATTTTACATAATTACGTATCGTAACGCAATAAAAATTACATATAAATAAAGAGCTTCGCAAAGTGGGTTTTTTTAAAATAAAAAACCGCAGTGTCAATCAATGTACAAGTGAGATTTAAAAAAATACCTAACTTAAATTACATATTTTATGCGTTAAATTATGCATCAAACAGTCGTAAAATTTTGTAATTTTGAAAATTGTCTCTAAGAAATTTATAGTAAAAATTCAATATTTTATTTATATCGGGCGTATAGAGCGTATAGAGCATTATATAACGTAATATATTTGGTATTAATATGCCTTTGGATTGTAATTATCAAGTATCTTAATTATTTATTATAAGTAAATTGATGGCAAAGACGAGAAATTGACAAATTATTCGCTAAACTGATCAAAAGGAAGAAAAAATTTATCGATAATTTTAATTCGTTTCGATTTCACGAATGTATTAATTTATCAATTAATATAAGCAATCGCCTAATACATAGTTCAACCACTGCCATCAACTGTCATATTAATGAATTCTATGTAGATACACATTTATTGTACTTGTACAATAAATCGTGACGCGTCTCTCGCGTATTTTCACTATGGAGGTAGATATTTGATAATGCAATGAGAGCTCAGACAGCTGGTGTATTAACGTGAGTGTGGGGAACTTGGACGGAGTGGAACGACGCTGGATGCGAGGCGGGCAGTGACAACAAGTGTCCGCGTTCCATTTCATTCACTTCTTGCTGCTCCGTTCCTCCTATAGAGCCGGTCGAACGTGCCAGGCTATTACGCTGTCTGCACATGTACGGCGTCTCTCCAGGTGAAGGAGTCTCACGACCCTGTATTACATAAGTTATTGTCTATAAATCGTATTAAATCTACAAATCTTATCAGGAAGGTTAATGGATAAAATAGAACTCGAGAGAAATCAATTTTACGATACAGGCGATGTTTGTCGTAACGTATGTGTTAATAAATACATGGAGCAATTCTCTTTTATCTTATAACTCAAACAAAATAAAAGTAGGTTTTTTTTACGTATAATTTTAATTGCACATCGACTGATCATATTGATATACTATAATTTGGTTTCGAATTTAGATAAATAATTTGAATTCGAATGTAAAACGAGACTAGTTAATTCTTCTAAACAATTCAAGTCGATTTAAGCTTTACCATGTAAAACGCATTTTTTTTCTTTCACAAACATATAACTGTACTTTCAAATAGATGAAGTACAGAATTTAGGTTCCCAGACGTAGTAGAACTATAGTCGTCGCGATCTATAGTGACAGTTGATTCTGATTTTATGGCTTCTAAGCATCGTTCGAGGTACTTTGATTTAAGGGACGCAGATGGAGGATCTATATTTCTTTCCGTGATATACTAAGGAACCGAAGAATATGAACGATGAATGATGCAAGAACACGCGAAACTAATGACGCGGCACCACTTACTTGTTTGGAAGGACCACAGCACGTCGCATGATTGCACGGCTTATCAGTCTTTGGACAATCCAACACGCAATCTTCCGTGGGAGTCTCTTTAATTTCGCTATTAGAATGATACTAGAATGACAGAAAAATGTGTTTTAATACATCAGAAGTATCTGGCAGCGAGAAAAGGTATCCTACATTAAAGCCAATCGTAAGCTGTGATTGAAACGCCGTTCATCCGTGAAACGTCGCGAACACTTACTTTACGCATCATTAACTCTAGACAAAAGATCGTGCATCAAATTCGCATTAAACTTACGCGTGACTCATGGACTAGACTTTTTAATAACTTACAATCTTCCGAAGCGTAAAAAGTCTTAAAACGTATTTTAACAAAAAAATCTATTGCTCGAAGTAACAAATTCTCACTTAGTTTCCTTTTTTTTTTTGCACAAACTTTTTATCGTAATGTTTTTATAACTAAATTCTTAATGTTTTTTTGTTATTTTTTTGCGTACGCACGTAGGCTTTTATAATGCTATATATCTGCTTACGTCAATAAATTCTGGTTGAATAGTCGTCGAGTGTATACCCTCGTTATGGAAAAACTCCTTAACCTGCTCGGCAATTTTCATATATTCCGAAAGATTTCTACATCTTATATGCGCGCTAGCTATAATACGATCACCCGCCAATTGCCATACGTGGAACTCGTGTACAGCTAACACACCGTCTACGTTCTCCAGCAAACGTTGCTGTATAGCATCGACCTGAATAATGCATGCAAATTAGATATGTATAATGTGTAAAACGTAAATACATATATCATGTAGTTTATAAACGTCTCGTTATATACTACATTATACAAGTCAATAAAATGTGTTACTTGAATGTGTGTTGGCACAGTCTGCAACAGAATTAAAGCTGATTCCTGAAGTAGTGGCCACACCGAGCGCAGGATAAGAATGACTAATAAAAGCGACAGTGCAGGATCAATGTAGAATCTATGTAAAAAGAAAAATCAACATATTTTAAATTAACACGTTCAATTCTTCGGTATCAATATAGAATAGACGCGGGCGTATAAGTACAATTACCTATACTGCCACTCTGTCAGCCACACAATTAAGGCGGACACAATTACAATGACGGACCCCAACGCGTCGGAAAGTACATGAAGAAACACCCCTCGCATGTTCATCTGACTTGCATCGTGCGAATGGCCATGCGCCCGTTTCACTTGGGGTGTCGACGGTCTGTAAGCTTCGTCGTTCTCATTGTCGTCCGTGCCCACCAAAGTGCTTAGTCTATTATGACTTCGAGATATACCATGCGAGTGACCATGAGCACTTCCATGTTCTACAATAATTGCACTTATAAATATCTACCGATAAAATAGATTAATTTTATCTTACACTATATAAGATATAGGATGTTATAATCGATTAATTAAAAGAGAAAAATATTAGCTTATTTCTTGCCAAGTGTTATAACTGTAAAATATACTGGATATATACATATCCATAATATATACATATAAAATTAATGTTTTATAAAACGCAATGAAATGACAAAATTTTTCCTCTAGCATCAATTTTCATTCACTCGAGTAATTCAATATTCTCCAAATACTCGGATACAGCGAGTTTAAGATCAATAAGGCCAATAAGATAATGGAGTAGATATTGACACCTTTTCCCGTTAGTAAATTTTTAACATTTGTATAGCTCGGGCATTTTTCTCTTTGCAATCTTGAGATATAAATTTATTGCAACAACTTTATAAGGATTTTTATTTCCGTCTTATGTTTGCAGAAGCTTTTTTATTTCAAATCTTGCTGCGTTAATACGTTCGCTATAACCAAGTGGACATTTAATAATCAATTTCTCTTTATCTTGAGCCAAGTCAAAATCTTTTGAGTACCAATAATAAGATAATATCACGACGTAGTTGAACAAAGAACCTTATATGTGAACAGCAATTTAATTGTACAATATTGTTTTTCCATTATCATAATTAAGATTTCAAGATATACGATTAGACATAAAGGATAATAATTAAGATATAAAATATATGGAAAAATATTTTGCAAAAATTATCTAACAGAAAGAAAAAGTAATAATAAAAATTGCTGTACAAGTGCATATTCTGTGCATTTTAAATATTAATACATAGATATTTATTATATTGCCTGTGTTTTTTTTCACACTTCTAGCAAACAAGACAAGTTTAGATTACTTTAAAAAAAACAAGGACAAATGTCTGTTACAAAATAAGTGTCGTATTTTATCTCAAACGTTATCAAACAAACAAATAAAGCTAGAGTCGCATAACGCACAGGTGGATACTCACCATGAAACAAGCATAAACCTATCACATTCACCAGCAAACCAAGTGCCCCGACTCCGACGAGTAGCTTGGCCTCGTGTATCTCTTCCACCTCGATAAATCTCTTACACGCCTCCACGGTAATACTAAAACACAAAGCGACCAAGAACACGGCGTTCACCAAGGCACCCAACACCTCGGCTCTGGCCCAGCCGAACGTGTTCTTGGACCATTTCTTCGGCGACATCTGCAACATCAAAATGTGCTTGTAAACAATCGATATACCGATATCAATACAAGGATATTGTACAGTAAAATTTTGAAATATTTCCAATAAAATTGAAAACCGACACTGCAGACAGCTTACCTTTACCGAGAGAAACGCCACCACTAAAGCGGCTACGTCTGACAACATATGAAAACTATCTGCTATTAAAGCCATTGAGTTGGTCACGTAACCAACTACGATTTCGACTAAAAAAAATAAAGCTGTCAGCCATAACATTGTCAAAAGACGACATTTCTTTCCCGTGTAACGACCCATGGTATCTCCGCAGACCTGAAAAAAAAAAATCGGAAACGTAAGCAAGTTTATGACAAGGCGCGTGGAGCACGTCCTGTGCACGTTGTTGCCTCAGGATAATATCTGAAGCTCTCTCCTCCCTCCCTCTCTCTCTCCGCAAGAAGAATATTTCTAATAATATGCATTTATTTTTATAACCGCCTGAATCTGCAGCCACTCAAGTGCGAGGGGAAAAAAAATACGTGTTACATCGGACAATTTATCACAATGCAAAAGAACAAAATACAAAGTTAAAGGAAGGTGTAATCGTTCTCGTCGCGGATATACATCGCAATGTCAAATACCGAACTGGCTGACGCAGACGAGGACGTGACGTCGGTTGCGGAAATTCGCTCCTCCTCCGGGAAGGGACACGGTACTCGAGATATCGAAAATTGCGACGGAAAATTGCTCCTGTTTATCGCGGGACGTGAGAAAAATCTAATGAATTCCGAACGTGCACTCTCTCCGTTTTTTTCTCTCCCTACCGTGGCCTTTGTTTGTTTATCAGGAACACGCGAATATTCAGAGCGGATTATCCGAGGAGGGCGAGGAAGCGACGTTTCTCTCGCGGCGGCAGGTCGACAGACCGAGGCAGGCCGCGTCTCTTCTTACTCGACGCTCGGGAGACGATCGAGGACGACGAGATAGTATCGCGCGCGCTACGCAACACGTGCCGCGCCAAGTCGTTACGCGTGGAAACAATTTTTCCTTATATCCATTTGCCATGAGTTCGGCAACGTCTGGGGGGATGGTCAGGGGGAAAGGGAGACGGAAAAACACGAATATGAATCATACGGCGGAACGGCGAGAAAGGTACACACCGTGATTCATTCGCGCGGGGAGAGAATCATCGCGAATCGAGGGGGGGACCTTGAGGGGGGACGCGCCGCGACGGAATCGGCGAGAGACAGCCGGCTCTGGGCCGGGATAAAAATCTTCTCGATTATTCTCTCTGTCACTCGCGGCTATCAAAACGGGCTCGGCGATAATGGAAGAGCGCTGACGTTGCCGACGTGATCGTGTCGGTCGTTCCTGGTCATCTCGACACCCGAATATCCGGACGTTTCAGTTCGTATAACGCGTTTAATTTACAATTTACGCGATCCTTCGGCGTTTTGCAGATGTACACATAGCGAAGCATACTCCGTATATATGAAGTTTATACATGTGAACACCCATGTTACAATATTTTTATCGAACAGAGAGAATAAGTCGATAACATCAACGATTTCCGATTGTCTCCCACTGGCCCCGTTTGACGCTCCGCTGAAAAATTCATTCGGGATCGCTGTGGGTCAGCGGTGTCACATCCAGCGTCCCCGGGAGCAAAAAAAATCGCCAAAAAAAAGGGGCGGAGGGGGAAAAAAAGGACAGGCACGCTTGCCGCACTCACCTGCGAGGGGGAGAGGGAATTCGTCGTCGCGTTCCGTGTTTAAGTTTCGCCGTCTCGCCTTCGCGTTCGCCACCACCGATCCGCAGTCAAGTGACCCTAATTGAACACGGCGCGTGAAGAACGTCTCTGGACATGTTCCGTCGCGCGATCACGCGTACGCGCGGAGCGCATCGCTGGCAGGTACAGACAAGGCACACGACATGAACTCGCGGGGCACCGTGACCGTAGCGCCCATGGCCCAACTGATCCCTCCTTCCTTCCCCTTCGCACGGCACGGCTGACGGCACGCACGCACGCACGCCGCGGGGACGAACGAGAGGCAGACGAAGACGCTGACGGACGGTGCTGACCTGCGTTCGTAAAACTTCCACGAAGAGCGCGTCGTCGCGCCAGGCGGGGGCTGGGTTTCTCACGCATGCGCGGTGTCAGTGGAGGACAATTACGAAAAGTAATTCGTCGATTGCCCGCGGAGAATTGTGCAAAAATTCTTTTAATTTAAGAAAATAGTTAATTAATAAAAAACAAAATATTAAGATCGAAATGACTTCGAACCCTCGCCTGTCCTGGTCTCTTCCAGTGTTGTTCTAATACAGCTGAAAGGAACAAAATTACTCTTATGCATTGTAGTCTCATTCACAACTTTTTCTTGTTCATTTTTTTATCCATAAGTTTTCTCCGTTAATCTTAATTAATACTATGTATTCTATGCGTACCTTGTTTTACCTATTAATCCTATCTTTATTGCATTAAGCTCATGCCTTAATTACTACAGTAATCTGTCAACAGAGAATCGAGAAGAATCCATTTAATAACTATATTAAAAAAATTCTAATCGACGTTTGCCAGCAAACTGCCATCACATTTTGTTAGTTATAGATTAGATCGCATGCTTTGCAAAATCTGTCTACGACAGATGGCTGCTCGGACTTGCGATAAATTCCGTCTCGCAAATATAAATAATATTTTCGAATCTGTAATTGTCATATGTAATCTTGAAATGTAAAAAGTAATAGTTGGTGTATATATATGAAGTTCTTAAAATTAATATATTTATAATTATTGCTTTCAGATTGTCAAGAACATTGCCATGCGTTTCGAAAATAGTAAGATTATAAATTCGTAGGAAGCAATATTATGCATATAGCGAGAGTTGTATCTTTATTATTTCAAATATTTGTAGCACAGGCACAATACGTTCAACTTGTCGCTTCCGAACAAATTCGGAACCGACAATCATCATCAATCGGTCTAAATCGTCAGACATATGTAAATACCACATATTTCGTAACGACGCGAGGTGTCCGGAGAACGTTTCACTTTCGAACGCAAAGTCTACGTGTGAAAACATAATATCCTCCTCTTCTTTTTTTTTTTAATCTTCTCCGATACGCAATTCCGCAGCGGTTTCGGCGGTATATTCGCGCGATTTCTTACATATAAAAAAAATTTACAAATAAAATGTACAGCTGAAGACCGGAAGAGGCGTGTAAGCGTACAAAAATCGGATACCTAAGCAACGTAAGTACATATTAAAGCTACAAAAAAATTTGTGTTTTTTTGGAAAATTAAGCGGAACGTTATGTATGGTAGACGTTTAACTCGGCAGTGGTAGAATTTGTTTGTTGTCGATATGACGGAGTTTTCAAGAGACTTATATAAATTTTTTATATTTTTCTTGCAGAAGATTGAGACCGCGTGATTCTTGACAAATTAGTTATTATTCAGAAATATTAATTAAAAACTAAAGGAAAGTAACTTTTAAGATGCTGATAAATGCACTCAAATATGGAATTGAATAAACTTAATTTCAAAACTTTAACTATATCAAGATTAGATAATCAACATAAAATATAAAACGCATACACGGGCGTACATATAATGAAAGACACAAATATTACATACTTACATAAAATTATAAAATTTATAATACAAAAATCGATCTTTATATTCATATTTTTTGATTTACTCTTCATGATTTTTAAAAATCAACCTGGGACTTCGATACCTATGTTTGTATTCAAAATCTAACTGTCCTTGAAGCATCATTTTTCACATATTTAATAAATAAAATAATGGAGTAAATATGTTTCAATAAGTCTAAAAAGTTCAATTAAAGAGATATTTAAATGTACTTTCTAAATTTATAAATATAATATAAGAAATAAATTCTTTTCATATATAAAAAAGAGATGTGACACTTCAATTTTTTCTTCTCTATTCTTTTTACATTTATTGAGATCGATGTAAACGGGTCCATGTTTACACGTTAGTATATGTACATTAAACGTTTGAATATTTCCTTCTAGAAACAAAATTCGAAGTTACCATCCATAGGATGGGATAAGTTTGTTACAAATTTCACATTAGAGTAAAAAAGTATTAGCACCGCTTCCTAAAAAACAATCTATCGGAATATCTCTCGGAATTCCATGAACATAAAAAATTATACTTATGATTACAATATCGACCTACTTAATTCACTCTATAAATGCTTTACTTTTTTCACGAAAAATGGCAGGATAAGAGAAACGAAGTTTCTTAATACAAATGTTTAAACACGCTTAATTTTACGTTACGTATATTGAATTTCGACAAAGAATGATATTCTCCAAATACAGTACTTATTGTTATAAGTAACATCACGATGGAGGAATATACTAAAACTGCAATAAAAAAAAAACATTTTTGCTCGATAGAAATTAAAAAAATAAAAATTTCTATTCTTATTTCAAATATCAATGAAAGAAAATGTCACGTGTTTCCGTATCACGCGAATGCAAAAATAAAATGCAACATTTCGAAACTCTCACTCGCGCATTTTCGTTGCTGCAGGATTTGTTACTTACTGATATACTTTTCGTAAAGATGTAAAAATAAATCTTTGTGTGTGTACTTTATAATAGATGAAGTATAACTTTTTTCTTTACAGTATTTGGCGTTTCAGTTCGGAGAGTAATTTAAATGTGCACTCTCGTAAAAGTGATTATAGCTCGAAATGTAATTTTGCATTTGAGATGCAATTTCTGTTTTCTCTTTTCTCGTAGGGTATTTCGTCTAGCTCTATGGTACCACTGCCGGGTTAAGGATGAACAGGGTCCAGAGTACCATACATTTGAATTTCTTACAAAGTCACATTTATTATTCTCGATTTCAGCTATTTCAGCCGTCGTCGATAATACGAATGTAGTAATTCTATATACAATCTACCGAAATAAACGCAATAATCGGTAGTAATAGCAATAGCGTCTTTCAAATCTCTTCGAAACTCCTTCTCCCATCTCTTTTTTTACTTTCACCTCGTTGATATATTTTTCTTTTTTTAATAAGTGCGCTGAAAAATCGGTATAAATGTAAACCTACGAAAAGGAGTAATATTTTTTTACCGCAATAATCGTCAATTGTAGCTTAGACAAAATTTGGAAGAACTGTAACGCCGTTTTTTTATTCTTCTTCTTTACGTTTCCCTACTTTCTACTATTGCCAACACTATTTTATATATCTGGTAGTTTTTTTTTTTTTAAGAAAATCGAACGGATACTCGTTTAAATATAATTATATCACGAGTATGAGGTCGATTGATGTCACAGTTTACAGCTCGAGCACCATATTTGGCTAATGTCAATAATAATTAAAAGCAAATTGAACAAATAAAATTTCGACAAGTCTATAAAAATCGCTACCACCCCCCCTCACATATTCTCTTTCTCTCTCTCTCTCTCTCACTCTCTGTCTCTTGATTTGCTATCATTTACTACGTTGCGACATTGTCGATAAACTTCGATTGATATTAAATACGATCTAACGCTAATCACTTACGTCTAAATCACTACAATCGGGTATTATTAACGATGAGCGTTCAGTTTTAGTTTTTTCTCTAGCTGCATCTCGCGATGTTGGCTACTATGGCACTTGACTAATACTGACGCGCTTGTTTTTTTTTTTAAACCCCTCTAAAAACTTCTATACCTTACACGCTATCATCACGTCTAACAATAAATTTAACTCGAACAACGGTTCCCTAGTTTTATTCTATCAATATTCTCAACTGTCCTAGCGACCAACATCGTGTTCGAAAACAGCAGTTAAAAGTTTCGTTTATACAAAGTGCTACAGGTCTTCCACAATTTTTCTAAGATAAGTAATAATTACTTCGTAAATAGTTTTGCTAACCAGCGACCGTCCGCCCTACTTGGCTTGGGCTGGGATCGGGGAGACGCAGGGCGGCGGTATGGTATCTTTCCTTATTTTTTTTTCCCTTTTGATTGGTATCGATCTAAATCTAGTATTTGGACGAAGTGCGAGGATGGGTCGTGCGTGCTTTTGCTTCCTAAATCGAGCGTGCGCAAGTTCTTATAATCTTTTTTTTTTTCTTTAAACTTGTAGCCGTAAGCTTTACTTTCTTGTTTCCTTGACCAGAATTACGATTTATCTTCGTTATTAATTAATTTATTCGATACGTATATTCTCAGAAAAGAAGGAGAAAAGAATATTCTTATTGCGTGTGTGTGTGTGTGTGTGTGTGTGTGTGTGTGTGTGTGCGCGCGCGCGCGCGCGCGCGTGTGTGTGGAAAAAGAACTGGTGGCGGAAATCATGGAGCAGCCCTGAGAGAGAGCGAACAACGCATCTGGGAGTAGTGCATGTGCGCCAGTGTATCTAGTGTGTGGGTGTGTGTTTCCTTATGTGTGTATGTATGTATCCGTGTATCCGCACATGAATCTCATGAGAATGAATGTTTCACTCAACGTGTAAATTGCGAATTTACTTATAATTTACTCATTTAACGTTTGCTTTAACCTCAAGTCTTAAGAGCCGTGTGACGCGATTCCGCGCACCCGTGCCTCGAGTTTGTATACAAGTGACAACCTTCTACGCTGAATATCGACACTTCTGCAACAGAACCAATGGATTCCCAGTGAGACACGTATTTCGTTTCGCACAGCGAATGCACGTACAGTCGTGAACATATCGGTTGCTCTTCTTTCCATAGGTTTTTAGTATATATTTAATATATATATGTATAATATATATTTTATCGATAACTAATATTTTGCAAATGCGAACCACGATGGTGTTACTATCATTAGCTTAGGAACAGAATACACCAATCGTGGTTCGCATTTGTAAAATTTAATGCGTTTTGAAACCTATTAAAAAAGTGTCGCAACCGATACAACTGTGTACGTCCGTGCGAAATTTTACAAAAAAAAAAACTCTTACCATCAGGTAATTCATATAGTTTCCTAGGAAGAGAGGTGAAATAGGGATGCCGTAACGCCTCCTCCGCACCTATCCGTTGATCGGGATTCAGCTGCAGGAGCGACGACGCCATACTGTCGCCCTCGGCGATATCGTAGAGCCGGGGAAACGAGAGTCCCAGTTTCCGCGGCGGATAAAATATCAGTCTATGCGCCTTATACCCGGGCAGATGCGTGACACCCGGCCAAGTGTCCTCGGTGGGTGTGCCGAGCACTTTAAATATCTTATCGAGCTGGTCGTACGTACAGCGTACACCTGGGAATGTCGGTTCGCCGGTTAACATTTCCACAAATATGCAACCCACTCCCCACATGTCGAGCGAGGTGGAGTACTCTGTGGAACCTAAAAGAACGTCGGGCGGTCTGTACCACAGGGTCACGACTTCGTGTGAGTATGTATGCGATGGCACGGATTTTGCCCTCGCCAGCCCAAAGTCTGCCAGTTTAAGTTCTCCTATTTCGCTGATTAATAAATTCTGTGGCTTCACATCTCTGTGCAGTACCCTCCTAAAAAGCATAACAGCAGGAAATCAATCAATAATCGCGCTCATCGGATTGAACGAAGGCGTGGAATATCGGCCGCATTTACACGCATGTACAAATTTGTTTAATTACCTGCGATGACAGTATGCCAGTCCTCTCAACAGTTGAAAAAGGAACAACTTAACGTTACGCGGATCCAGCCCTCCGTTCCCGCTTCCGTACCTCTCCATGTATTGCGACAGATCGGTGTGAACGTATTCAAACACGAAGGTGAGCGTCTCGCGGGTATGAATGATATCGTGTAAAGTCACGATATTGCTATGTTTCAACTCTTTAAGGAGACTTGCCTCGCGAATGGCAGTAAACGGAGCTCCTTCCTCCTCTTGCAGTCTAATTTCTTTAAGAGCCACCACTTGATTAGTGAGATGGCTGTAGCCTTTGAACACTGTGGCATATGATCCCTCTCCCAACTGCTCCAATTTTATATAAGCTTCGGATTTACCGAACGGCGAATCTCCCTGCCGAGACAAAATCGAGATTAATGTACAGTGTCTTGCCGGAAAAAAAATGAATACACAAATGGATATACACACGTAAGTGTATATAGTATTACCCCAAAAGCGGAGAATCTTTTAGTTCTTCTAGGTGGATCCGGACCAAGGAAAACTTCAGATTTGGGCCGCGGTGGACGTCGGGGCCGCAGAATTACCCTAGCCTCCTCCCGTATATCCTCATCGAGAAGCTTCGAATCGCTAGAGACCGAAAGCTGCCGATGCACTCTCTCGTGATCGCCCACACCTGTCCATTCTATGACAGTCCAATTTCCGAAAACATTCTTAAAATAACAGTAATAGAAATATATAAAGTCCTAGCTTTGATAAAATTAAGGGGTGTAATGTAGTCTCTATTTTGCATAAATTATATTTAACATGTACATATACTCGTGTTTTTTATGCATTGAAATAATATGCGTAGAGAGCTACGCTCTCTTACATATAAATGATCTCAACTGTGCACATTTAATATGCAGAAAAATCAAAACGCGATATAAATTAATCATTAAAAAAAATGTCTAGCAATATTTTTTAAATGTTTTTACTAGTAAAATGTGTTACGAATAACTGTATTCTTATATATGAGAATCAAATAACGTTATAAAGTATGTCTACATCAATTAGATTTATATTTTACGCTAAAGGATATAAATTAAATTTTTTTATTTTGTCTCTTCAAGAAATATGTAAGTATAATTACGATCATTATGGTTACTAAATCAAATTACATCTAGAAAATGTTATCAAACCTATAAATATTAATGTGTTTCTAGAAAAAGCTCACCATAACGACGATCTTTGTCCGCAGGTATGTTGCCATTTGGCTCCAAGCGGTCTAGGAACTCCTCAGAATAACCATTATATGGCAATTGACCTCTCGTTGTTGCATCATCAGCCTCTTCTTTTGATATAGCTGTAATAAAATAAATAATATTGAAATGTGTGATATTTATACAATTATTACATTCAGTTAACCGAGAATTCATGATTCAATTGCATCAAGCTATTTCACATTCAGTATTACGAAATTTTTAATTTTATAACAACATCGATAATCAAATTTATAAAACATGTTGTTTAATTGCAGTTTGCAAAAATAATTATTTGCCTGGCGTATATCGATAACATATTTATTAATATTAAAAGAGCATTGAATTATTTATTGAATTACTTATTAATATTAAAAGAGCATTAAAGGACAATAAAGTTAATTATTTAAATCTTTGCGAGTATCATTTTATTTTATTAATGCAAAATTACTTATATAAAAAAAAAATACTTACAAAGCCGTCCAAAGCTGTGACTAAGGCGCTTTTTTAATTTTTGTACTCTACTGAGAGCACCGCCTTTCTTCTCCCGCATTGTCACAGGCCCTGCACAACAAACGTAATTGAGTTTAAACAACCACAATTTGATACACCGAGTGTAAGTTGAGATAGCATGACATCATAACAGAAGGCCAAGAACATCAGAGTAATTTAGATATAACAGATCATTACATTTACGATGACATCATACGCTGTGTTATGCCAGTGCTCCTTAATAATGACGATATAGAGGTATACATATGCATCGCATTCCTCTCAAATGACAATGCGGAGGAACTTCGGTATCACCAAAAATTACGAGGTGACGACAAATAATTACGATAAAGACACGTACGTGATTACATCACGCAAATGTTGCGAAAACAAATTTTCTACTTTTTTCTTTAAGTGAATAATCTACATCGTTATAGACAATATAGATAAAGCAAGAGCTTTCTCGTTACAAGTGTCAAAAGTGTAACGACAACTTAATTGATGACACGAGGTGAAGACTTGTGAGCACAGTTTCGTTGCCGAGCCAAAGTGATTCAATGTAACTCCGAGTTCCGCGAACGCAGATGACTCATCCAATCCAGTGGAAGATAATGGATTTTTACAAAGGTGAAAGCACGTATGTATTCCTTAACGTTGTGCACTTTCCAAGTGTGCCAGCGTATCAATCCGCTGGGCGTACCGGCCAGCTATCATTTTTTTTCCTTGGAGCGAGCCAGCATAACAAAGCGAACTCTCATCACACGGGGGGGCCGCCGCACACTCACCGACGCGATAAAAACTTTGAAATCGCCGTATGTATACGGGCACATGACACGCCATTCAGTCACACGTACGTGCACGCGCACAAGTGCCTACGGCGCGCACCACACACACACACACGCACGCGCACACACACATACACATACGTTCTCTCTCTCTCTCTCTGCGTACCCAGGTATGCAGTGTGTAGTTACAGCGCAGGGGGGAGTTCAACGAACTAATATGCATTAGTTTTCACACACGTCGAATAATCGGTCAGAGATCTCCGGATCGAGAGATGCTCGAGCGTCTCCGGACAAAGCGTGGGCTTTACTTCTTCGCGCTCACACAAAAGGTCGCATTGTACTCTCGACGCGATCGTCGAGCGCGAGGACGACGTTGATCCCCCCAATCCCGCGATCGAAATCGATAAGCGCGCGAGCGTACGTTCCTTCCCCGGGGGGAGGGGGGGGGGAAGGGGGAGTATATGTACCCAGGCGACGTCTAAGCGCCGGCTATAAGAAAAAACCGTTCAGCTCCTCACGTCCGAGAGTCGCATACTGGAGTCGCTCCGTCTGTCGTCCCCCTTCTGCCGTCGGGAAGCGAGATACTGTACAGGCACACATACATACAAGGGACGTGCGTGCGCGCATAGAGAGAGAGAGGGAGAGAGAAGGTAGAAAACTGAGAGAAAAAGAGAGAGAGAGAGGGAGAAAATAAAAATAATAATTCTCGCCCTCTTAGTTTCCAATTCTCTTCTCTCCCTTTTTCCCTGTCTCTCTCTCTCTCTATCTTTCTCTCTACTCCTCTCCGGTTGCCACTGTCGACCGTCGCTATTCCGTTCTTCTGCACGATCCTGGAACGGAACTCCCTTTACCTCTCTCTCATTCATGGTCTCCTCTCTCTCTCTCTCCCTCTCGCGCCACCACACACACACACACACACACACGCACTCCCGCTCTATCTGCATCCTTCTCTCACCGTTCACACGCGCACACAAAAGCGGGCCGAAAGCCGATAGGAAAACGGCGAGCGCCGGAACGTCGGGCGCTCGCACGGGACGCGAAAGGATACGCGCCGCGGGCCTCGTCCGCGTCCCCGACTTACCCTCTTTGCTCTTGGAGGCGGTCGAACCCTTGTCCTGACAATACATGATTACTCATTCGCTCGCACGCGCGGGACACATCACATATGGGCGGTGACGCACTCGGCTGCGTGTGTGTGTACGCGCCACCGCCGCCGCCGCCACCACCACCTCCACCGTCGCCGTCGCCGCTGCTGCTGCTGCTGCTGCTGCTGCTGCTGCTGCCGTTGTCGCCGCCGCCGCTGTGTGTTTTTCTCTCGGCCGATGCTCCTGTGCGACGGATCCCGGGCGCCGTGGCTCCCCACTGGCGAGCAACTCCCTCACGTCACTCGTGCGGTCGTCCCGTGCCTCGGTGAAGCGCGCGCGGACCACGTCGCGTCGCCTCGCGCCATGAAAACGCCTCCGCGCGCGATCCGGCCCGGTGTACGACACCGGGACGACGAAGACGACGTCGTCGACCGACGACGATGAGATCCCGCCGCCGCACGTTGACGGCGCGCGCCACCGCGAGGATATTACCACCGCGAGATTTGCCACCACCGAGAGAGATAAAAAGAGAGAGAGATCGCCTCTACGGTCCACGAGAGGGGCAAGGTTCACGTCGGAGCACTCCCACACACACACACACATACACACGCACGCTCTCTCTTTCTCTCTCTTCTTTTTTTCTGTATTTCTTCTCTCTCCCACGGGAGATCACCGACGGTGTGCTCGGTGCTCAACCCTCCCGCTATGCTAACCCCTCGCCGACGGTGGGTGCTTCGCGCACGCCACCACTACCTCTGGCAGCAAATCATCTGCGATCGGGGCCGACCCGGTCGGAAGCCTGCTGTGGCCCTATCTCGCTCGTCGACGCGGATACTGCCCACCACCTCGCGCACCGCACGACACGAAAGTCGCGAGCCACCAGCAGCCGCCGAGTACGACCGAGCGAGACGCGCGCGCGCGCCAGGAAACCTAGAACGGCGAACCCCGCGGCCCGCGCCGTTGTGCGCCTTGTGGCAAGTCGTCCGAAACGTCCGGAACGCGTGCGCATACTCCAATCGCGGCTGGGGAAAAGTAACTAGACTCGATAACGAGCGCGCGCGCGCGCGCGCGCTTTGGACAATTTCAATTGTTTCCCTTTTGTTTCTTATTTTATTGTTATTCAACGGGTCGTTGGCTCATCGCGACTATCAAACTGTGTACTGAATACTGATGCGCCGCATATCTCGCTCCGTTTTCGTTGAATTTTATGTAACGAAGCACGATACGTCAAGTGTCGATTATTGCTCCGAAATTTTTTTCATTCAGATAATAGATATATATATTTTTTTAATTCAATTTCCTTTCTGGGATAAAAAAAAAAGAATTAACGAATCACATTTTTGGACAATTCGGCTGATTGATCAATGCAATTCGCTAATCTTCCCTCCGTTCGAGCAATTTCTAACATATTGTAAACGCAAGCAAGTAGGTTTCAGTCTTTTCTTATTGTCAGCAGTAACCGCTTTCTGCTCCAAAACTTAAGATTACTCCGGACTTTGATATCTCTCTTTCTCTCTCTCTCTCTCTCTCGTGTGTGTGTGTGTGTGTGTGTGTGTATGTGGAGTCCACACAGGGCACGCGCACTCCGTATGGACGCACCTGCATCTCTATCGAAAAACTATCGATGTCGAAAGGCTCTCGATATCGAGAGTGTCAATCGAGAGTAGCGGGGTATCGATACCCGTCCGCCGCCGCCGCCGCCGCCGGCGCGGCGCGGCGGCTCCACCGCCTGGGCCATGTTCTCGCGCGTCGTCGCACGTGTAAGTGTGCGCTGTCGCCTGGTTGTGAGTCAGCAAAACGGGAAGGGAGTCGTCGGCGATAATCTGCTCTCGCGACGACTGCTACGAGCGAGTACCGTCGGCCACGGTGGGCACCAGGGCGCGCGTTACTCCGGGAAAACGTGTGAGATTGCGAGCGAGCCAGCGACGAGCGGAGCGACGATGTCGGGCGACGAGAAGCCGTTTCGCCGTCTGCCGTTGTGCGTGCGTCCCTATCACTACGACATCTCGTTGACGCCGCATCTCACCGCCTTCACCTTCGACGGCACGGAGAACGTGCATCTCAATGTAAGTACCGTCGTCGTCGTCGTCGTCGGCCGCCGCGATCTCTTCCCCCCTCGCCCCGCCTCGCCCCCGTCCGTCCGCGGAGTGAGAAAAGGAGTCGAAAGGTAGACGGAGAACAAAGCGGCCGCTAGCCATATGGGAAACATAACCAAGAAACGCCCCCGCCCTCCCCCCTGCCTTCCCCGCCGCCGGTTCTACCGGTGGATGTTTGAATAGCATTTGGATTCGAGTTTGATTGGCAAACATCAAGGCGAGACCGCCTCCCCCCGTTAATCTCTTAATTGCCGGCAATCGCCCGGGGTTTTAATCCCTTCGGCAATTTGCCTCGTTAATTCCTCCGGCAGCGCGGGGTTTGACTTCTGATTGCACTCGCGGAGATGCGTTATCTATTATTTTTTTCCACTCCTTGATGGTACTCGATTGCTTATCTCTCCAACGATCGCTTATCACACACACACAGACACACACATACACACACGCACGCACACATACACATACACACACAATTGCGAATTCTCTCTTCACTGATTACCCTATTTTTTCCCTCTTTTTCTGGCTTGCAGGTGGACACGCCAACGGACACCATTGTGCTGAATTCTTTGGAGATTAAAATAAAAAGCGCGACCTTTCACGGAAATGACGGCAAGACCATTGCCGCCAAGAATATCGAATTGTCAGCGTCCCAGGAGACGGCCATGCTGGTGTTTCCCGAGGCTCTGCCGTCTGGCAAAAGCGGATACCTGAATATAGAATTCGTGGGCGAGATCAATGACAAGATGAAGGGCTTTTACAGGAGCAAATATGTCGGGTAGGCGTATACAGCTCGCAATTTTGCAATATTAATATGAGAAAGAAAATTACAAGGTTATCCTATGTCCGGCTGTCTGAATTAGGAAACGGAACGGTCTCTTTGACACAATGCGTTTCAATCATCTGTTTGTTAATTTTAGCACCTGAAAACTTATGTAAACGCGAAAATGGATAAAGCGAAGACAGTGTTTAAACTATAATATTTATTGTGTATCTTTCGAAGGCAAGACGGTAACTGCGCCGTAACATATTTGTGTCCCACGTCGGCACGGAAGTTTTTCCCATGTTGGGACGAACCGTCTCTCAAAGCGACCTTTGACATACGTCTCACAATTCCGTCTCAGACAACCCTCGTCGGATTATCGAACATGGTGAGCGCATCCCTGTTACAATGTGGGAATTTTTTTATGATTTCAGAGAGAACGGTACCGTTGAACACGCGGCGGTAACCCAGTTTGAGCCGACAGATGCTAGACGTTGCTTCCCATGCTGGGACGAGCCAGCGCTCAAAGCCACATTTGACATTACGCTGAAATTACCGATCGGTCTTACGGCACTTTCCAACATGGTAAGCAGCGCCCGGCATCTGCGATGTTATTGCTATTATTATTTGCTTCTCTCCCTTTGTTTTCTTTCGCTTCCTATCTTCTTATTTAGATTTGAAGTAGATGTGTATATAATTTTCTTTTGTTTCTTATGTTTTTTTTTTTAATATTTAACGTATATGTGCACACATATGTAATGCTTTAAATTATAACATTTTTTATATCGACTGTTATCTCTTATGTGTAACATTTAGTACCAACGTATATATGTATATACATCTCGTCTGTTTTGATTTTCAGCCTGTAAAAAGCAAAGTTACAAACGGCAACTGCGAGACATTGACTTTTGAAAGAACGCCTATTATGTCAACGTACTTAGTGGCCGTAGTAGTAGGCGCTTTCGATTACATAGAGGACATGTCTAGTGACGGTGTGTTAGTTCGAGTTTACGTGCCTAAGGGCAAGAAGAAGCAGGGCCAGTTCGCCCTGGAAGTGGCCACCAAGGTGCTGCCTTACTACAAGACTTACTTCGGCATCGCGTATCCCCTGCCGAAGATCGATCTCATAGCGATCGCCGACTTTTCGTCCGGCGCTATGGAAAACTGGGGACTGGTCACGTATCGCGAGACCTGCTTGCTCGTGGACCCGCAGAACACGTCGGCGGTGCGCAAACAGTGGATCGCGTTGATAGTGGCGCACGAGCTGGCGCACCAATGGTTCGGCAATCTCGTGACGATGGAATGGTGGACGCATCTGTGGCTGAACGAGGGCTACGCGTCATTCGTCGAGTTCCTCTGCGTCGCGCATCTGTTCCCGGAGTACGACATCTGGACGCAATTCGTGACTGACACGTACATCCGTGCGCTGGAGCTGGACGCCCTGAAGAACAGTCATCCGATCGAGGTGCCGGTCGGCCATCCGTCGGAGATCGACGAGATCTTCGACGACATATCGTATCACAAGGGCGCCTCTGTGATCCGTATGTTGCACGCGTACATAGGCGACGACGATTTTAGGAAGGGTATGAATCTGTATCTAGAGAGACACAGCTACGCCAACGCGGAGACCGAGGATCTCTGGACCGCGCTGGAGGAGGCCAGTAACAAGGCTGTGCGCAAGGTGATGTCGTCGTGGACCAAGAGACAGGGTTTCCCCGTTGTCAAGGTCGACTATCGTCAAGAAGGCGACAACAGGATCTTGTCGTTGTCTCAGGAGAGATTCCTGGCCGACGGATCGGTGGACAGTCAGGCGGATAACGCGTGGCTCATACCGATAAGCGTGAGCTCGTCGCAAGATCCGAGCAAAACGATATTCGATGGCATATTAGACGCGAAAACTAAGGAATTTGTGATCCAAAACGTTCCCGAGGGCACATGGCTGAAGATCAACCCTGGTACGATTGGCTTCTACCGAACTCGCTACAGTCAGCCCGCTCTGTCGCTTCTGTTGCCGGCGATTAAGGACCACACGTTACCTCCTCTGGACAGATTAGGCTTGCTGGACGACCTCTTCGCGATGGTACAGGCGGGTTATGCGTCCACGGTGGAAGTGCTCGAGTTGATGCAGGCGTTTATGCACGAGGACAACTACACCGTGTGGTCCACTATAGTGAATATCCTAAGTAAAATCGGCATTCTCATTTCGCACTTAGACTTCGAGGATTCTCTCAAAGCGTTCGGGCGTAATCTGTTCCGCGACATTAACGCCAGATTAGGCTGGGACCCCAAGCCGAACGAGAGTCATTTAAATACGTTACTCAGGTCCCTCGTGTTAGGCCGGATGGCGGCGTTAAACGATCAGGATACCATCGAGGAAGCGAAGAGGAGATTCGAGCTGCACGTAAACGGCACGACGCCGCTCGCCGCTGATCTGCGCAGTCCAGTTTACCGTGCTGTGCTCTCCGTGGGTGACGTCAATACCTATATGACTATACTGAACCTGTACAAAGAGACCGACCTTCAAGAGGAGAAGGAGCGAATTTTGCGGGCGCTCGGCGCGACCAAAGACGAGGACCTGCTGAGAAAGGTCCTGGACTTCGCCATGAGCGAGGAGGTCCGTGCTCAAGACACAGTATTCGCGATCATGTCCGTGGGTCTGTCGTACAAGGGACGTCTCATGGCGTGGAATTTCTTCAAGGAGAAATGGAAGACCCTGTTGGACCGTTACGAGGGCGGCTTCCTGCTGGCACGGCTGGTGAAGTTCACCACGGAGAACTTCGTCACCGAGGAACAAGCCAAAGATGTAGAGAGCTTCTTCGAGAGCCACCCGACTCCGGGCACCGAGAGAACGGTGCAGCAGTGCGTGGAGTCCATTAGATTGAACGCCGCATGGCTCAGCCGGGAAAAAGACTCCATCAAAAAATACCTGACCACCCAAGTCTAGTAAAGACAGTTTCTCATCTCTTCTCCGTTACCTTAATAGGACATTGGCATATAATTCGAGATCGCGTGCAAACCTTAAATGGGGCTTTGTCATGCGAACAATCTTATGGTACTGCTTGATATTGTGAAAGGACGTTAATTAAGTACGGTGTCTAATTAATTAGGTACCTACGTCTCTTGCGTATGAGATAAAATGCATAAATAATCCGATACAAATCACGTGTATGCACGCTTGGCGAAAAAAAAAAAAACTAATTTGTTTAATACCGACTAGAAATTTCACACACCGAGTGAGGGAAACAAATGGGGAAAAAATACAGTTTTGTATACACTGTTATTATACCTCATTGACGAGTCATCTGAGCATTTCTTTACAGTGTTTTAATTGTATTGTTTAATTCTGGTACTGTCATTAGGTTCCATCATTTAGCGTCTGTTTATACAGAAACAAATAGAATAATCACTTCGATATCTGTCATGTATTAAATGAGAAGTTAAAAAACTGAAAAATATTATATGATAAACTTTTTACTTTCAGTGACATATCGCAGCAATATTTAAAGCAGAATTTATTTAAAACATGATTTATATATACATAGATATAATTTAGCTAAAGCCAGTTGAAAAATTTATTGCCTTTGTATTGTTGTACATGTCATGTATTACATGAGCCATTTGCAAGATGTATGCTCTCGATATATAAATGAACTCGATATGAAAATGTACCAGCAATATTCATGTAAAAGAACTACATTCTATATAACATCTTTTTTTCTAATGAGAGAGCTAGTTTCGTTTGTCAAAATAAACACAGGTTAAATTCGAGATTTTTATTTATTTAACCGACGTGACTTAATTATTTCATGGAATGGAATCCGATTAAAAAATAAAAGAAACAATTGTATCGTGAAATCTAAATTAGATAATTGTATTGCATGTCTAAATTAAGTATCGTAATCTAAATGGAGCATTCATAAAGAAGTTTTAAACTTGATGCAAAGGTTGTCTACAGGAGATTCAATTTTTTTTAAATGTCGCAAATATGTTAGAAAGATTTTCATACGTCGCGGGACCGTTTTAAAACCTTTTTAAGTCCCTTGGATATTTTTCAGATATTTCTCGGAGTTTTGTATTTAGATCGTTATGTTATCTCCCTAATACAACGGAGAATTGAAAAGTACTGCTCAACTGTCAATGACATTTCATAACGATCGCACGAGCTTTATAATTCTATACAGAACTTATTAGTGTGTAACTCCATAATATGTACAAATTATAGTCTATAATATATAGACGGTTGTTTATTTCAAGTATTAAATGTTAAATGCAGCGTGTGTGCCATGATTACCTCAAACATTAATTAATTTATATATATATATATATATTTGTATCAACTCCCTTATATTCATAATAGAGAAAATAGCTGGCGTCGATTTTTCTTCTCGATATAATTCTTTGCTCATAACTATAAATTTTTTAATTTTTTCGTATTTTCTGTCATGTATTAATTAATTGCGAATATTCGGCTTGCTCAAAATTCATTAAAGTTCTGAAATTGTATCGAGAACGTGTAGCTAACGGAAAAAGAGACGATATTAAATATATTTTTTGTGCAGGTGTAAAATCAAACTTTGACAATATAAATGTAAATGTGTTAAAGACGTCTTATATCTCGATTGTAGACATGCGTGCTGTTTGGATTCCACCAAAATGAAATTGCTTCAAGGAATAAAACATGAAAGTGGACGTTTCTCATCCTTGATGTCGTAACATTTTTCATGTCGACCGTCATATAGAACGCAGTCCCCCGCGTTTGATGGTCGCACGTGCCGAGACAAGGAAGGAAGATGGCCCTGGTGTGAGTCAGCTTTCATTTCCATTATCAGCGGACTGGCTGGCAATCAGCCGGCAGTTGTTACCCGAGTGTAGCCCGCTACCCTCGCGTCGGAAGAGAGATTCTCACCCTCAATCCGTCTGTCTTATTATAAATATCTGAAATGGCTCAAAATTGGAGCAAAGAGTACCTACTTTGATATTTTTTATTTGATGTACACGGCACAGTTATTTTAATGATAAATTTAAATTAATATGAGTCGAACATTTATGATATCGATCAATCTACAGATTCCAATGTCTGAAATCGAACGTTAACGCTATCCTTTGTGACGATGGAGTACAAATACGATATACACGATACGAAAATTTTGTCGCTTTGATTCCTTTCAATTGTACTAGATTATTGGCATAGCAATGTTTCTCTTTCTCAGCTAGTGAAATAATTAATCTCGAGTGTCGCGCGTTTATATTGACCTTATTTTCTTAAATCTTATAGATCTGCGATATTTCTCAAACGTTTGATGTTTCTTGATAATATATAAGAATATAAGATAATCAAGAGCACAAAGGGTTAATATACTTAGACGTTGAACGCTCTTACAGAGGATTGTCCAAATCCTCTGAGGAGTAATAAATGCACCCCCTCGCTCGCTCGCTCGCACGCACGCAGGAACGGGGGAAACGAGGAGAGCGGACGCGAGCGACCGTGGAAGAGGAAGGGCGGGGAGATAAGGGAGAGAAAGAGAGAATGTCGAGGGACCGTGGGGTCGGTTCCCGTGGGTATAACCCGGATCGAGCGTTCCCAGGAACGCGCACGTGACCCGCGTCAGAAGACGGATCAATACGGACTTTGCGAACTCCTACACCCCACCGGAACGACGTGTCGCCCTTGTACAATCCGCACACATCCTTCGCCTTCCGACGATACCGATGGCGATGGCGAACGGCCCGTCACCCCTCCTCGCACGTGTGCGTAGATTGTTGCGCGCACGTGCGCCTATTTAACCCTCCGCTCTATCTCTCTCTCTCTCTCTTTTCTTTCTCCAGCCCCTCACATATACCATCCGGCTTCCGTTCCCGATATCGTCGAATCTTCGCAGATTTACGGCCCCGTGGAAGCGGTGCGGAAAGCACGTCGAGCCAAGCTAGAAGTTGTTCTCTTAAGTTCAATCTTATTTTTAGAAAATTTATATGAAAATATAAATATGTCTTATTTTTTTAATTCACTGAGGATAATGAATATGTATTCATATTCATTGAACATTGTACAATCTCAGCGATTATATAATGTTTTATTTAATCTTTTATTCAGTCAGGTTAACGAAATTCCTGTTTTTAAGATAAAAGTAACGAGATACAATAAATTTCATTTTATTTTATTTCAATTAAAATTAAAATTTTACTTTTCCTTATTTATATATCGACTGTGCGAATATATTGTAAGATATTTCAAAGCTGATGAATATTTCTTAAGAAAATTCTTCGAAAAGTTTCATCTTGAATTTATTTCTCAATTCTACAACAATCGTTCTCCAACATTGATATTAATGTTTCTCAGAAAAATATAGATTTTAAGAGATTATCAATTATTTCTCAGTTTAGTCAATATATTTGCGTGATCAATAGGACAGACTATACGGGGAACAGGGACACGCTATGTTCGCAGGACAAAAACAAACGCACGGGGGCTCATTTATAGACACAGTTTGCATTTATTTCTTTTTTTTTTTCGTGTGTACGAGTGCAGTACGCCCGCGCAATGATGTATGTACTTACAGCCTTTCAGTCTTTGCAAATATACAATATTTACGCGGGTTGATGGGGGGGGAGGGGGAGTTTCAGCACTTTCTAAATTATAATATAGGAAGCTATAACAACAGTGAGATAACTATACAGTAATAGCAGCGGATAGAGCGCGAAAACCTTGACGTGAGAAAATAAACGGGACCCTCGTCGAATCACCGCGCATCGTCGATCAAGTCTCTCGGCGAAGTTCGATTTCGCACGCTATAGCCGGTCTCTGCCAGTCTCTGCCGATCGATCGCCCATCTCGCTTCTTATCGGTTGTCCGAAACTTGTCGATCGTCAATGCAGCATCGTCTCTCGACTCTACGAGGAAACGGAAATCTCATTTCTTGTCGCGCGCGCGCGCGCGCGCGTGCTTGTTCTCCAGGAAGGACCTCCGCTCCGCAAGAAAAGGCGATCGATCGGCGAGACTAGTTGGGCGGGGCGCTTGTGTAATGACACGAGTGTAACGAACGTGTTTTGCGAGAGCGCTCTCAGTGTCAGTGTATTCGAACGCGTGCGCGTGTTGTCGGCATCGCGATATCGCGTATTACGATACGATCGGCGACGGGACACGGGATGGACTCTCGGTCTCTTCCCGGGAGACTCGGGGGAGTCGACCCGGTGTTTCTCGGTCGTGCAGCAAGCGAAGCTTGCCAAAGAACGAAAACGCTTAGTTGGAAACTCGTCGCGTCGCCTTCCACAAATTCGCAAAAACGGGGCCTCAAAAGACCAGAAATATGTATCGCGATGAAGTCGATCGCTGGTCCTCCGCGGCCGATTTGATTTGATCGGTGTCGCGCGGTCGGTTGATTAAAAAAAAAATAATAATAATTGGAATAAGATCCTAGAGGAGCAAAAGAAGGGATAGAGGGATGGGGGAAATTCGTGCCGCGGGTCCTTATAATAACCGTGAGTGGTCTCGTGTGGAATGGCGATGAGCGTATGTACAAATATATTTACAAATTCCCTTCGCAGGGGGAAGGGCAGAGCTTTGAGAAATCGCGAGACTCGCTCTTCGATTTAAAATGTCCTTCTCTCTTTCTCTCTCTCTCTCCGTCATCGTCGCGTAGGTTTCTCGTCTTCGGATGTAGGTGCGCCTCTTCGGACATGGGTCTCCCGATTGTCATCTTCCGGGTGACGCGATCGACACCTCCCGTGACCCAGATCGAGCCGTAGATCAGGCGGGCGGACGTCCCTCTCGAAGATCCACCTAGTCGACGAGGAGAGTGGCCTTGACGCGACCTGTACCCTAGTGGGTCCGACCGGCAGGTCACCGGTCGGCGACCGTCGCGGCTACGACGGACGTCGTGGTGGTCGTCGTGGCGGTCGACGTGGTGGCGTTCAGCAGGGGTTGCAGAGGCTGCCTCGAGGACTGCTGCTGCTGCGTCACCGTCACCGCCGCCTCTGGCGCCGCCGCTGTCGCCGCCGTCGCCGTCGCCGTCACCGCCGTCGCCGTCATCGACGTCTTCGCGTCCTGATGCGCGGCGTTCGTCTCCTCGAGGGCGGTCTGCAGGTCGCAGATGTACTCGATCACCCTTTGAATAACCTCGAGCTTCGACAGCTTCCGCTTGCGCGGCATGTCCGGCACGAGGGAGCGCAGCTTCGTCAGATAAGCGGCGACCTCCTCGGCCTCGAGGTCGCGCCTGGTGCCGCCGATCCCCAGGCCGTTGTGCAGAACGCCGCGATGGTTGGGCGGCACTCTGCCGCTCACCGGGCTCACCACCATCGCCTTCATATGCAGGTAGCGGCGGTCAAGGAGTCAAAACTCGGACGACCGGAGCACCGATCGATCCAAAACCGGAGTCAAAACTCGCTCTCTCCTCTCCCGACGCTTCTCGTTCGCGAGCGCACGCCGCACACTGCCGCTGGGTGATCGTTTCGACGACAGCGCGCCACCGCACACACACATACAACACACCTTCTCGTCGCGCGTGTGCCTATCGATCGCCGAGGGGCCGTCGAGGTAACACCGAGGCGTAAATGCACGTGAAGAGCGACGGGTGGACGCACACGGGATGATGCCCGCTTTCCTCCTCGCGTCTCCGTGGAGCGACGACGTTCTCCTGGACCGCTTTCCCTGGTCTCCTCTCCCGTTCGCCGATCGGACTCGCGAAATCGCGTGTGGAATCACGTGCGGGATCACGCATCGGTACTCGTTGCACCAACCAGCCGCATCGTCCTCGAGGCGGCAGCTATATACGCGGGCGCCGAGTATGACGAGGTATCGCGATGCGATCGTCGACGACGTACGTACAGTGGGGCCGAACGTATGAGCGTCGACCGGGTAACCACACACACGAATCGCTTGACAGATCGAAGCCGACTGGCCTCCGCCCCTCACCTGCGCCTTTTTATAGCCTTGCCCCACCCGGGCTCCCCGCGCATACCCTCCAGACGCTTCCAGCATTCGTACGGCGCAATCGCTGCCCGAGTGGAGTAGCGGTGGCTACGAGCGTCACGCGACCCATTCTTGTCAAGCCGACTCGATTGGAATTTTCGAATTTTTCCCAATTCTAATGTAACTTTCAAAAAGTACAATTTGTAACTTGCGTTTTATGAAAAATCCTCTCTTTTGCAGGTACTTTCCACGAATAAAAATTATTTTATTCTGATTGTATAAAAGAATCAAAGAATAAAAAACTAGAATAATTTATATACATATATCGGGAGTAACAAGATAATTAAAAGACTTTCAGAAGATTATCGAACGAGTCTATCAATTGTCAAATAAAAGGACCGCAAATTACAAGCGAATTATTAGAATTGACGAATTTGTCGTGAATCAAAAAGCCACGTTTTACAAATGCAAACCTCTTGTTATCAGATTGCGTTTCGCATAAAAAAATATCTGATCGAATTTACTTGACTGATCTAATTTAACTAATTGCGCAATCGAGAAATCAACTCACTCAGCAATCGAGTCAAGATCGAATGATGCGTTTAGAGCGTAACGTGAGGACTGTTGGATTTCGCGTGAAAATCGCACGTGGGGTCCGATTCGAAGCTATCAGTAGTCGGGGGTGTTTGACGACTATGCGACTGGCGGCGTCGGTGGAACACCGTGGGGAGTGTAAAAGGGAGACGGGAAAGGGGAGCGCGACCATTGTTGAACGTCCGGCGGCGCCAGCCACTAGCCATCACGGCTCTACCACTACCACGTAGGCACCACGTCGCCTGTGCACCAACACTGTAACAGGCGGTCGACCACCACCATCATCATCACCGCCACCACCACACCATCGCCGTCATCCCATCGCTCTATGCTGCCTGCCCGACGTGTACGGCAATGGTCACTCGCTAACCTGTGCACCATGATTCCGGCCGTGCGATTTTCTCGCGGCGGCGAATGCCGTGATGCGCCAAGAAATTCACGCGCTCGTCTTCACGGGCGCCTCGAGATCCCGATTATTTACGTTGAAATCGTTACGCGTTACGTAAATACATCGTGGAATACACGTATAGAGCATATGAAATTGACATCTTTTTTCTAGAAAAAACAAAAAAGTTTTGACAATTTTGGATAAATGAATATATATTTTTTTAACGAATTATTATGCCAAAATAACGCGTTTTTTGTGATAATAATGAAAATATTCAATGATAATAATATTTTTTGTTAATAGAAGTATCTTACATTATTGTCTTTTTGTGCTCCATTTTACCATAATTTACTGCAAATGATTTATATATTACTATGTTCTATTGATTTATACAACTTATTCATTTTTCTTGCCGCGATTTCACAATACATAATTGAGGTGCTAATTTTTTTTCAATTTTCTAGTCGCTGATATTATTTTTCTTCAAGCAGAGCAGAAATAATCTCGCATGTCGAAGGAAATAATTATTGAATCGGAAAGTAATTATCCCAGCTTCTTATAATTGCTACGATATTCTTGCCTTAGAAATATCTTCGTTAAAATCAATAGAAGGTTGTATTTATTAGTAATTTAAAATCGTTGCAATTTTTGTGTTAATTATGTATGACTCTCTAAATGTTTCAAATCCTCTTCACGATAGCCCCGTATATTCGGCGGCCTTTGTTCGGCTTGCATTTTGACAAGGATAAGTATATGATCTCGAGCGATTTCTTCCAGATCGGGTATTTTGTTCGGAATGATGGCGCGCGGCGTCGCGATTACACCGCATACGAATCATTCGTTTTAAAAAGGGCTTCATTCCTATAAACGATCCTTTTTTTCGACCACTCCCCCGTCCGCCCTCCCCCTTCCACCCTGATCGCTCTCTTCCGCTCCTCGTGACAACTTTCACGAGTTATTCGACATTCATTCGTCTACCTTTTATTCGGGCAGCCACGCAAATATCGTGTCCCACGGACGGCTCAATCTTCCCCGGCGAATATCCCGCTCGAGGCGATGGCGTCGTCGCGATTACATCGTACTTCGTGTCTTCCGTCTTGCTCTCCCTCACGTATACGCTCGCACGTACGCGCTTCGTGACTCCGGCGCGGAGTCTCGTTACCGGTTGTTGAAGACGAGAATCCGCCCGATATGTCCGGCGCTACACGGACGAGTTAAATAAAAACGAAGAAGTGGCTGTGCGCCGGCCGCTCGATAGAAGAGAGAAAGAGAGGGAGAGAGTGAGCCGACTGTGGACTAGCCGGCGACACGCTTCGTAGAATTTCCAGGCGACGTCGACATGCACGCCCCGGGACTCGTCCGAGGAAGCGGCCTGCGGAGACAATTGAGAGCAGCGGGGTGTACGCGCGGAATCATTGACAACCGCTCGCGAGATACTCGCGCGATCCGCGCCGCAGCTGCACCAAGAGCTCTCTCTCCCTCCCTCGCTCTTGCTGTGTCATATCTTTCTCCGAGCGAGATTCCCAAACCGTTGCTAGTCTTATCAATATGTATGTACATTAATGGGCAATAAATCATCAAACAGATTTAGATTGAGCAACAATCTCCGAAATAATACATGTCGATTTCTCCAGGGAAAGCACATTTTTCTGCCTGGAAGCCTAATATATTATATCAGATCGTTTTGCGCAATAATTTGCAGCCAAGTGGACAGATTTATTCTACCAGTTTTGTTCGATGTCTTTTTATTCGTGGTATATGTACTTCAATTTGTGGGAAGTTCTCTTCCAAACGATAACGGAATCAAAGTAATGGGAATAGTGTCTAGTCTTTATATCGGCTACCACGTAATCCAATCGATATAAATACTGAACTAAAATGCATAACTCAAAGATTAGGCAGATTGTCGCCGATAACAAAGATCCGCCTTCTCGTTTGTCAATATAAATTGTGAAACAAGTACGCGCTTGCGATATTTGCCAATAGTTCGCCGACGTGGCCAACGCGTGTCTCTTTCTCGCGTCGATAAGCTACAGATAAAAAAAAAGAAGGCGAGCGCGCGAGCTAATTACTATCGGGGCGAGCAAAACACGCTTCGGCTTATTTGTCCAATATATACCGCGCGTGTGCGACTCCAGAAAATGCGGCGGAGTAAAAATACGACGCTCCTTCGCAATATCTTCCAACACGGTTCGCTAATGCGCGGCGTCTCCCTTCGCGTCGGCAGCGCCGATAAGGATAAAAAGAGGCGAGTCACACCTATATTGCCGGCGCGCAAAAAAAAAAAAAAAAAGAAACGGCCGCCGTTCGTGGACATTATCGCGCGACGATCGTTATTCAGAAACGACGGCGACAATTTCGCGGCGTCGTTGTTGACGAGGTCTCTTTCTTTCTCTCCTCCCTCTTTCTCTCTCTTTATCTATCTCGGAGGAGGAGAAGCTCGCAAGGAACAATCCCGTGGAAAATTACAGGGAATAAAACCGAACGGGCGCGAGACGCCCGTGAGACTCGGCGGGTAAACACTTGTGCGGTTACATACCTGAGCAACCGGATCTCATTGACTCCTTGACCCCGGTGTTTAAGAAACGTGGTTCCCTTGACCCGGGAATAAATAAACTGAGGAAACGCCGCCGACGGCGCACGCCGCCGTATCGCCCGTACGCGAGAGAATTTACTGATACTTTTCATCGGGATTCCCCCCGGAACTCGCCTCTCGTCCGAGCGAGCGAGCGTTACGGGCTTTGGCGCCGCGACGTATCGCCGTGTCGGCCAGACCGCTCAATTAATATATCGGAAACGTTAGTTACGCCGCTGACGTAATACGGTCGCGAGGTGAGATTAGTCGCTGTCGCCGGCATTGCACGTCAGAGCGCTTCCTCCGTACATCGTCCGAGAAATTTGAGTTCCATGAATCACCGAAGGAGTCTAACCGGCGAGACCGATCGATCGAATGTCGATCCGTTCGCCTGTACTCATCTTGCACTCGAGTCTCACGGTTGCTCAACACGCAGTCAAGACGAGCTTTATCGTCCGCGCGATAACGTGTGATTTTATCTGGGTACTCTCCCCGGTTCAAGTGTACCCAAAGGATCTATCGTATAACTGGATCGGGGCCTGATTACCGACGTACGGCACCGCGACTTCTTGAGTCACTTCCACGTATTCGATAAGGGAGATTATCATCGGCGGGAGATCCAATCGTGAGAAATTGAAATTGTTGACCGTTATATTTGTTCCATCAAGCTGTACGATAAATTTGACACGTCGAATGAATAAATATATTACAGTTACACAATCCAATATATTATCGGAAAAATCTAATCTGTGTCTGTGTTTTTAAAACTTAAACATTTTTTATTTTTATTTAATTGAAATATAAAGAACCTTATTCTTCAATATTGAATTTTTATTTTTTTTATTTATTAACGCTATTGTTTGAGAAGGACTAAAAGTCTTGTCTTTACGTCTACTCTCTAAGTCTTTCAAATTTTCGGATTTCAAATTACAATTTTTCGCACAAATGTCTGAGATCTTTCAAGAATCTTTAACTTTGATTCTTGAATTGATTTCGGGCAACAACTCCCACAGATCTTAAATCTTGAAGCCAGGCATCTGTATCTTGTAGCTGAAACGCAATTAATATACCAATTGATTCGAAAAATAAAGTGTGATGCTAAATATATAACAGTAAAACAGCGAAGCGTTTTCCTTTTGAGATTGGAAATGCGGAAGTAATTATATTTCGATATTTTTGGCGGGCTTGTTGTTAAGCCGCTTCAAAGTGAGAATATCACGCTCTTCCACGTATATCGAATCAAACTTATCAACGGCCTGCGGCGACTTGGCGGAGTCACGAGTGCGCGACGCCGTCGCGGGACGCGGAGATAAAAGCTACGTGCCTATAATTATATCGTCTCGCCCTGTCCCTTCTCGAAATCGGGACGACGACGACGACGACGACGACGACGACGAGATCCGCGGCGCGTCTCCTGCGCAGCTGCCGCGCACGTAACGCCCCGGGAATGCGAGTCCCGAGGTGAGGCCGAACGTAATCGTGCGCTTCCTGGCTGCTGCTGCTGCTGCCGCTGCGCCGCATCCGTTTTGCGATGAGACGAGCTTGCATACATATAGGTGGTAAGAGGCAGGATCTCTACGCTCACCTACCTCCTCGCGTGCGTGCGCGCTTGCTCATGTCGTACATTCTTACAAATAAATCTGCGAAGCGCCGCCGTGCGTGCGCCGCATGGAAAATTACGTCGGGAACGAAGCCGACGCCGCGCCGCCGGTGTCCGAGAGAGTTTAAGCCCTTGGGATGCGCGACGCGCGCGGCGCTCCGGTATGACCCGGTATATAGGATCCGGTATGGCGCTTTTGCATTTTAATCCCACGTACGCGAATATATAAACGCGGATGTATTCGCTCGCGATCGCGGAGTGAGAGCGCGTTTACGAAGAGCCGAATGACGAGCGACGAGAGAATTTGGAGTGAGAATTTTTTTTTTTTTATAAAAAATGTTAGATAACTTAGATACGGCTCGATTACAACCGCGCGCCCAGTTTCTTATTGATTTTACCCGACTCGTCGCGATCTGTCGATTGGTGTATTATATACGTGTGTAATTGTTAGTGCAGCTGTACGCAGAAATCGAGCGTAAACACGCCGCTTACCCTGATCAAAACACGATTATCTTGATTGCGGATCAATCGAGGCGACTTAAATAAGATTAGATATACGTATAGGAAACGATTTTCTCGTCGGTTATGATGCAACACGCGTGTATAATATACGCGTCGAGGCAGACACAACGGCAGGAAGTTGAGCGGAGCGCACGTCGACGATGTAAAGAATACGCGCGATACGATAAACCGATCTCGATTCTCGCGAGGAGGTTTCCTTCCTTCCAAAACACATACGCGTTACGAAACACATTTCCTGCCATTCGATTCGATATCTTACCGCGGCGCGCGATAACGAAATACGATTCTGCGTAGTCGTAGTCGTGCCGATTGCGAATCACTTCCGCGAGTATATTTTGCACGAAAAAAGTGTCTTGCAGAAAAAAAAATGTCTTTTATATTCCACGTATTTAGAAAGGCAAAGTCGCGCATATTTTTTCGGAACGCGCGGTCGTTTCGAATGAAAACACGAAGGACACGAGCGCGCGCGATTGTTTATCGCGGTCGCCTCGAAATCGATGACGAGGCGATGTTAAGTACAACACCCGTTCGCCTTCGCGGCGGATCTTTTTTCGATTTCGCTCAGTCGAGGAGCAGGAGGAGGAGGAAGAAGAAGAAGAAGAAGAAAAAGAAGAAGCACAGAGAGAGAGGAGGAAGACATGGGAGTGCCCATCGAAAATTATTCCATGGAGTGTATCTTGGCATCCGATGATTGTGCGCCAGCGGCTAGAGTGGTCGGTCTCTCTTTCGGAGTGCACGTGCGCCTTGCACGTGTTAGCTGTGGGGCGACTCTCCCGATCCCCGGCTGCCTACAAGACTGTAACATCGTATCAGGAAGAGGCATGGAGGACGGGAGAGGGTGGCGGGGAGGAAAGAGAACGAGCGAGCGAGCGAGCAAGCGAGCGCGAGAGAGAAAGATGAGAGAGAGAGAGAGAGGAGAGTGAGGGAAGGAGGGAGAGGCAGCTATAACCATACACTCACGCTCTTGGCGCACTCCCTCTCTCGTTTTAACCCTCATCTCGCTCTTTCCTTCTCATTATCTATTCGCCTTCCTATGTACAATCTCTGTTCGTCGAACGGAGTATTATGGCGCTAATTGCAAGTACCGTCGGATCTTGATAAAGCGTGCCTCGGAAAGGGGATATAATCCTTCATCAAAGGACTCGGCGTAGCGGGGAAAAAGTCTGAAGAGAGTAGAGAGAGATCGTGTCATCAGTGTTTCGCTTCATTTTTTAATATTCTTTAAAAGCTGCCTTTCTAAATAGCAAAATAACGAGCATTAAAATGTACACATATTACTCGTTTCACTCGCGTATCATATACATGTCTATTACATGTCTGCGATGTATATTTATATATTTAATATTTCTTTCTATACTTATATGTTTATATTTATTTTAATATTTATTTTTAATTAAGCCTGAAGAATAAATCAAAGCAAAATAGATAAATCACGAATTGTATGTAGCAAAAGAATACGCGTCGATAAAAGAAAACATATATAGAATATTTAGATATCTATAGACCATATCAAGAACTAACACGTTAAGAGCGTTTTAGAAGATCGCGAGAGTAACGTCGTTGGTCTCGCTGCCCTTTAGATCTCCGTACGTAAATTATGTACGCGAATATTATCGTTTCACTTGGCAGCACGACTGATTTGAAATGCATATCGATTCGGCGAGCGATGGAATTGTCATGACCGCGCTCGTTGAACGACGTTCGCTCTCTCTCTCTCGATGGGACCCGGTAATAAAATTGCAAAGCGGAACGTGTATGTGTGTGTGTGAGAGAGCCCAGGGACAGAAATCACGGGGCCGAGGAAGCGCGTGGATCCCACTATTTGCGCAGCTGTTCAAACCGCTCGCACTGCGAAAATACTACCTCGTCATCCGTTTTTAAAATACCCGGAATCCACTGGTATTTTAATGCCGCGACGGCCACCGACGGCGTGCATCCGCGCACAGGCGGCGGGAGTCATTAACGGGGCGAGAAACATCTTGACCTGTTTCCCCCCCGAGGTATATCTCGTCGTTTGCTTTCGTCGTCGTCGTCGTCGTCGTCGTCGACGTCGTCGGCGGCGGCGGCGACGGCGGCGCGGTCGTCATGCGATCTGGAGCACTCGCTCGACACCAGATCGGTGTTATTCGTTCATTTTGCAACTTTCACAGGAAACGGCCGTCTAGAATTCCACGCCGCGTCTACACGTTCGCAAAAGAATGCTGCGACGCGAGGTGAAAAATTTCAAGTCACACGAATTACAGGTATACGAATTTAATTAATCCCGACGTCCCACGTTCTCGATTACACCACGTAACACGGAAAAATAAATACAAAAAAAAATTAAAAAAAATACATATATAAGTCGTATGGAAACGAAAGTGTTAATTATGTAGGTAACATCATCACAAAAAAAATGTTTAACGTGTCACGGAATTATCAGATTGTTAAGCGTATACGTAATATGTAGGCGTGATTTTAACTGACTCTTAAAAAAATTCAATATACGGTCTTTTACGTATCTCGTTTCGAATTTGTTGCAACGCGCGAAGAGAAAATCGTAAGATAAATCGCAAAATAGAACGAAATTCCTCGCGTCTCTCAGATGGGGTGTATATATACAAAGCTTATATATATTCACCGAGATCAATCCGTATTTCGGGGAATTTCAGGTTCTCCGGTATACCTCTGGGGACTATATCCCGGCATCTTCGGCACGAATACGAGATCCATCTGGTATTTTTCAGGTGCCCTCGAATACGGGGTAGGGGAGGGGGAGAAGCGGTTTACATTGTCATGGAAACTCGGCTACTTCGTCCGGCGATGTGTGCCCTGGTGTGTGGTATTAACCGAAATACAGAGAGATCTTCAATGCGGGGCACCGTTACAACCGGGCGACTGCAGATATAATAGGGGCATGCTCTCTACAATGTAGGCATACAGGCGGAGAGTCGTTTTGGAAATACCGCAGAGTCCTGGAATATCGTAGAAGCGAGACACCTGCGCCGTACGTGGGGCCTGTGGGTCCCTCCACCTGGAAAAATTCCTCCTCTCCTTTCTGCTTTCAGCCGCGAAAGCGCCGATAAAGAGTAAATAAAGGCGAGGAAAAAACATACGGCTACACATTATCTATATGTAAGGATTTTTTT